ATATGGCATGCATTTATCAAAGAAGCGAGAACACGAATGATTACCCCGCTATAATTAGCTATGGCAGTAGAGCCTTGTTGGATTATGAGAGTACTCAAAAAATGTCAGAGGAAAGCGTTCTGTGGATGCTCCGCTCCTTCTGGCATGTGATCCCACTCCAGCTGTAATTAGAAGCTTGTGCTCCGTTAAAAACTGATCGGCCATTTCGTAATTGCCCCTGATGGTATTTATCCTGTATAGTATCCAGCCTCTAGAAAAAGGAATGGACAACTCCAACATTCCCAAACCCAAGATCTGAAGCAGATGGTGGGGCCAGGCAGCCCCTCGCATCGTCCCTCCCCAGGCCTCAGCTGCTATTTCAGGTGCTGCTGATGAGCCACTCTGCACATGGAGATGCAGCCCTGGGACTGATGTGGTACGGCTCGTCCCAGATAGCCGTTAGTGGAGACTGTAACCAACTAGGAGAAACTTAAGAACATCTGAGTTCATCTCTATGTCTTATATGGTAAAAGGAATACTCAGCAAATGCTTATTGTTTCATAGTCAGGTTAATTGGGTCACCAGGAGCGAAAATATTGCAGAGTTAAAAAGTTAAAAAGTCTCCCTCTCTTTGTGAGAGTTGTTTTTACTGAAGCCCAGTTACTCTCTCTCGAGGTCAACAATGTGGGTCAGTACCAATCCTGCTTACAAGGCAGTTTCTTTGACAATGGAACAGTCCTGTCTGGCAAATCAGAAGCCACGCTGAACTGCAACTTTGGACATATTTGTCGCCATGAATGGGGTTATGGGAAGTATGCAATGTGGCCTCCAAAGAAGCAATTGGATGACATCCAGATTAGAAACAAAAGGGCTTTGGTCCAGACTGATCAACACAAAGAGGCCAACAGCGCTCTCTCATTGTCCATATCGACATCGTGTGCATTGGGCCACATTGACTGGATGTCCATCAGTCAGCTGGAATTGTTGCTGACAACTTCATAGGCCCTGATTTAATTCTGTAAGCAGCTATTGACTCGTGTATTTTTGGTAGATTGTTTGTTTGCTAGCTAGACGCTTAGGGTGAGAGAAAAAGACTGACAGTCGGTTAATATGTTTTGGCAACAAAGTACTGTTTCTTTCTATATCCTAGTGTCAATTTCTCAACCCAGTGCACAGGTGCTCTCATCTCCCCTGCTACCCAGTTTGAAAGGGATCACAGAGGGCTTTGATGCCTCCCCTCTACGCACTACCCCCCCTCCACCCCAAATCCCTCAGCACACAGGCTTCCACACGTGTTTACCATACAAATGACTTCAGAACGACAGGAATGCACCATGTAACAGTAGAGCAACGCTCACAATGACAGTAAAAATGATGTTTCTTTGAAAAAACGTAGGATTTAATTGGTTAAAGTGTCTGTTGTTGCTGTGAGTTCTGTAAGAAAGTAGTCCGACAGCTGATGATGCCTGCAGCAGGGGATGCAAATGAAGCATCCGTTTGATCATAGGGAGCTGTTTGGCTCTCCTGAACATATTCGTTTAAAATATGTGCCTTTTTACATGTGATAATGACTTTGTCCACACTTTTCTGGATAGTTCCACAGGAGCTTGGATCAGCCAATCTGCTTGCTTTATGTGCTTTTCCACATGACACACTGTTGAGATGTGGGAGGTGTATTTATGTATCGGATATTCTGTGACATACAGTTACCCATAACACCCTTTTGTCTTTGCAGGTTTACTTACTGTGGCCATGATCGAGTTTTGAGAATATTGTCACAGCTGAATTTTCTTGAACTAAATAGTTTTCACAACACATCCAAGTTTCAGGAAGCGGCAAACATGTAATTTCCTCTGACAGGTGGTCACATTTTAACATTAATTCCTACGCACTACAGCTTCAGTAGCCGGTGTCTGACTGGGAAAATGAATGATTTAATGAGTTTCCGTGCGCAGTCATGAATGTAATTGTGTTAAATGATCCAGTACACTCCTTTGTGTCAGTGCCATGGTAGCTTTGTTTTAATCCCCACATCCTCTGGAGATGGAGGCAATTGCAAGGTTTACCCATTCATCAAAAATGCCTGGTGGACTTTAATGCAGTCCTATTTAAAACCAACATCCTTCTCAGTGCTCATTGGTGGTCTCCAAGTTTTGGTGTTCTGGATGTTAAAGTTTTGAGTTCTTAATTGAAGTCAGGCTATTGCTATTCAAATCCCTTTGTCATTGTTAATGATGTCTTTAGTTCACTGTGTTTATGTTTAATTGCTGTGATAAGCATGTATTTTGATTGAGTATTGCTGAAATGCCTTCATTGTTTCTTTTTTCACTTAGACCCAGTTCCTTGTTTCTTTCGTAGTGTTTTATTTCATTGCGAGTGTCAAAAGGAAGGAGCTACTTGCAGTGCAAGAAATAATCAACAGCAGTCCCAATGTATATTGTTATTTATCAAGACCTTATACTGATGAATAGAGCAGAGCCTTTCCCATTATTTGGTTACTTCATTAAGGACGTGTGCCCATATAGCTCTCACCCCTCTTTGAGTGGAAGCTTTCTGATTGAGTCAGCAGTTGATTGGCCAGGAAAGAGCTTGACATACTGGACTATTGATGTCATCCCATAAAAGCTCTTAGGGAACTCTTGGCTTTTTCACAAAGGCATTTGTAGCTGTCTAATTGTTTCGTCAAATACTTATCATTGTTTCAGTCCACTTTACTTTAATATTAATGAGAGTATTCATTAAGCAGCAGGTTGGCTGGAGTATTGACCAAGCATGCGGTTTACAGTTGTCGTTCCCCTGGCTCTGGTTCAGTTTAGTTCAAATTAGGTTGACTACAAAATCTGAGGTTATCATATGTTTTCCTTTATCATTATAGCTCAAACAGAGATGTACACAGTCATCATACACCTGAAAAGAGATTACTAGCATTGCAATAACTTCAGTAAATCACAATTACAGAGACCCCTACACAGCAGCACAGACAGGAAGGAAAGGAGGAAACATTGCCCAAATTACAGTCTATTAGCCACGAAAACAAACAAATAATGTATGTGAGCAATTGAATCTCCCTGCCAGGGACTGAAAGACACTTTACTGGACAAAATGATGACAAACTAATAGCAAAACTGATACAAAAGCCACTTTCACACCAAGTACTTTGCCGTACTTAGTTCCCAGTACTTAGTCCCGCCAAATTCTTTAGTCCCGGAACTGTCCTAGTAAATCAAAATGGCTGCTTCACAGGGGCGTGGTTTGCAATTCGCCCAGCCACTCAAAAATTGAAACCTTTTTCTCCCCCTATCTGGGGATGAAAAAGTTCGCAAAAACTAGGTTCTAGTTCCAGATATTTTTGGTGTGAACGCAAAATCCCAAAAACTGAGCAACTGCACAGAGCATGTGTGTGAAGAAGCAGGAAATAAAAAGGAACGCACCTTGTGGTATAACCAGCAAGAGAGAAAGCCTTTGAGCTCCATACTGTTTCAGAAATAATCATTGATAATCCATGATATGGCGTTTCATCACCGCAGTATCTGCCGGTAGAATCTCCCGCATGAGCAAGCATAAGCTCCGCCCCTCTTTTTTAAAGCTTTATACATAAAATCAGCACTTTTAAAACAGGAAGTGAAATAGAGGGATATGAGGCATGGCTAGAATGGGTGATCTGTTTGGAATTTTGAGCAAAACACTCCATAGACATGTTTTTTATATATTTTTATATATCTGAGACCTATGCCATTGCCTAAAAATAGCACGATAGGTGACCTTTTAAGAAAGTGATCAATGCCTACAAAAACCAATACACGCATATCGGAATACTTTGTTGATGTTTGAATCTTTTCTGAAAGGTTGGCATACCCTCTATTGAGCACTGGACCTTTACATATCAGTATTTGCAATTGTATTACCACATCAACTGTAAGTGGGAACAATACAATGCACATTAAACTGTGCCCTGAAAAAATTCTCCTCATCAACTGATCTTATTACCGTTATTTTTAATATTTTGTCAGTGCGCCAAGGAACATTCAGTAAGACCTTGCAGGCTTCAACTTTTTTTATAATGGTGCATTGTCGTGTGAGTTGTACAAACCGTTTGTGAAGGCATGTTGCAGCCTTATTGTTCTTTAACTCTGGTATGAGGGATGGATCTGTGCCCTCTCTGTTGGTGGCTCTAAATCACCTCATTAATCTGCTTCCTCTGCTGAAGATGTCTGGCCCCAGCCGCCTTCCATTAGGAGGAATCCATTATACATGGTGGCCCTGGCCTGAGAGGACACACAGAGGAAACAATTTGTGTGTGTGTGTGTGTGTGTGTGTGTGTGTGTGTGTGTGTGTGTGTGTGTGTGTGTTGGTTCCCAGTTGTCATTGCAGGCTGTACATTTAAATGAGAGTCGCTCTGACAGGTGTGATTCCTCAGAAAGGACCTCAGAGGGTAATTTACCTGCACATACAACTTGTTTTAGTGAGGCCTGCTGTCACCCCTCTGCTTTCATAAGTGGCTTGGGATTTCATTCAAAGACACTGATGAGGATGTGTGTGTGTGTGTGTGTGTGTGTGTGTGTAATTCATCCTAAAGATATTCAGCCCTAATGAAACACCTGAGACCAGTTTTGCCATCCTCACATCTCTTAGCATTCAGACCCATAACGAACGGATAATAAGCTTCATCAGGCGGTTGTTTTTCACTGATCAGTGTATGCCGTGCTGTAATAGGCCTTTGCTGATTCTTTATCTTACATGTTTTGGTAGATTTCAGCTGCATAAGTTTGCATGCTTGTTAAATCTTATTTGAAAAGTAGTTTACCAAATATTACTGATGAAAGCAGCCAAATGTAAATGCTTCTAGTTTCTCCATGAGTTGTCCAAATGAAAACATGAAAGTCTTGCTCTTATATACAGCACCTATGATTGGTTTTAAAAAAAGGTTTCCAAGCAAAGCAAAGCTCTGTCGGAAAACACCATATTTCTAGTCTTCAGATTTTGGCTCCATCCTAATCTATTTGTTCTCTTGTTCTCCTCAGAGATCCGGGCTCAGTTGGTGGAGCAGCAGAAATGTCTGGACCAGCAGACGGAGATGCGGGTCCAGCTGCTGCAGGACCTGCAGGACTTCTTCAGGAAGAAGTCAGAGATTGAGATGGAGTACTCCAGAAACCTGGAGAAACTGGCCGAACGCTTCATGGCAAAGACTCGCAGCACCAAGGATCACCAGCAGTACAAGTGAGGAAACGCTGTCTTAGTGTTTGTTCTCAATTTGAGTCTGTCATCTGGGTTTATTTATGGGGCGCAGAATACACTTTGTGAGTCCAAATGATTGTCATTCTTAGCCCGCTTGCCTAATATCTAGAAGAAAAGCTGTTTTATTGTGGCGGCCAGATGGAAGTCGTACTGAATTTCATTTTGTAATGTTGATATCATCTCTTTTTTCTGATGGGATTATTATGCTGATGAGCTATATCAATCTTCATTATATATTCAAAGCAGGTCAAATGAGGATAGAAAATCAGTTCACCGGTGACACTTATTTTTAATCTAAACATGTTTTTTTTCCAAGCATATCCTCAGAAATTCTAGTGGCTTAATTCATAAATTAAATTCATAGTCCTATCTTTACCTCACCAAATACATTCTTGACAAAACTATTATATATTATGCAATAATTACATTACTGCCTGTTTCTATTTTTGTATCTATGATCTCTATTTTAAATATGTTTAAAGAATAACAAATTACGCAATTAAATATGTATATGTGAAGGGTTAATCTTTATTTTTCAAACATATTTGGGCCAATTATAAAAGGAAATGTTGTTTGGATAGCCCTCAAAACTTGTAAATAAAATAAATATGTGTCATTAAAGCAGGTACAAGAGAACTGGAAGAAGAAACTTAATATAGAATTTGATTTGTCTTCGTATTATACAGTTAACCTGGCTGAGGAACATGTAAAAAATCGAACGAATTGTGATTCTTCATCATGTTTACAGGAAGCTTGTCTCCCTGCCTCTCCACCTCTCTCCCTCTATCTTGTTACCGTGCATCACAGTTTGACTGGGAGCCTTTTTAAAGATCTTGACACAGTTAAGTCTGCTGTAGTTGTTGGCCTTATTACACTCTGCTCATGGAAAAAGCAGACATTAGCATATTGTTTGAACCCGCGGTGAGAACGGAAATAAAACCCATGTTTGTCTTCGCCGTCTGCAAATAGCGAGTGCTCTCTGTCTGAAGCTGCAATGGCTCTAGCAGCTGTGTGTGCCCATGTCTGACAGGCGACTCTGCTATGGCGCTCTGTGGTTTCATCGCGTGATGCACAGTCCGGTCACTTCATTCACAGGGTGAACGTTTGGCAAGTGCCTAGGAGCATATCTTTTAAGTAAATACAAGATGTCTGAATAAAATTAAAGACCTTCCTGTGGGTTTTAATCATTGAGCCTGTATTTTTGTATTCGCATAAACACTACACGTACAGTAAGGCTTTTATGCTCTCCACATTCTCTAGGTTGCTTTCATTGGACATACATGTGGTGTGAAAAAATGACTTTTCATTCCGTCTGTAGCATTAAGCCAATAGTCATTTGACAGGTCAGCTAGGCGGAGCTGCAAAATGCTTAAGTAGCATTAAAATGACCCCCTAGATCTGTGGGTAATTGGTCTATTCAAGCTGCATTCAAAAGGGGGCCACTGCTAAAGCTGTCAGTGGTGCTGCATGCGTTAATCGGGTTTACATAACTGATGTGGGGACAAGTTGACAAGATGGCATTCAAACAGTTAAGACTGCATTAATATACACAATGTGTTAACTTTAGTTTGTTGTTACACTGAAGCAAGTGGCAACCTCTGTTAGGGATGACTTCCCAACCAAAAGGATACTGGGTAAGCAGGTTGAAGCCACATTTCTGAAATCGTGATGATACTTTTATCACCACAGCAGGAACCATTTGAACTGTAGGTTTTGGAGCGCTCAAGATAACTGACTATAATATGACATCTTAAACAATACACAACCATACTGAAATCGACAGGAGGAAAGCTAGTTAGCTGTAGCCGTTAGCCGTAAGTAGCTGACAATGGAGGTACTATTGCACTTTTGAAGTTTTGGCACAGTAGGAGTTTTTCTTCCAGAGAGAGAAGTGTTGTTCAGAAGTTTCAGATGTTGTGCCAACTGTGGGAGGATGAAATGCCTCTGCTCACTTCTGCAGAGGCATACATCTTTCTTCTGCTAAAGTGCTCACTGTTGAGCTGTTGTTCTGCATACACATATTTTAATTTCATTTCATTGCACTTGTAAACAGAGAAATTAAGAGCGAATGAACACGCATATAAAAACAGAGTCCAATCCAGAGTGTTGGTCTGTGAAAATAGCTAACTGAAAAATAAATGTCCTTCTTTACAATAAATAGTATTTGTTTGTTTCTGAATGGTTGGTGTAGCTCCTCTAGGTTTTTATGATTGTAAAAATAATACATTACTGCCTGTCATTTTATTAAATGTCCTTGCAACACTAAGAAGCAGCTGCAGGTTTGCTTTACATGCTAAAAATCATAGTCTCCACATAGGTGTTAAAAAGCTTGTATAACACATGCTGTTCAACATGAATATAGTGTCAACATGTACACGTATGTTTGAGCTTATAGCTTCCAGTTGGTAAGGCAACGCTCCAGCAGAAAAGAGTATGATCGCTAGTGATTTTGGAAGAAATATCAATGGGTTAAAAATATAAATGGCTGTTAATGGCGGGAAATAAATTCTACTCTTCTCTCCTTTTTCCCTTTCTGTAAGAAAACAAAAACAACAGACCACGATTACTGTGTGCAGCCTAGAGCGGCAGTCTGTGGGAGAGCCATTCACTGCCCCGTCCATTAATGTTCCAATGGCTGTTTGCAGAACACACACACACACACACACACACACACACACACACACACACACACACACACACACACGAACAAGTATGGGCAAACATTCTCCTCTATCTTTCTCGCTTTTTTTAAAACACATGCCCATGCACACAGCCTGATACAGTATTATGCAAAGTTTGTTCAGGGAGGGACGTGGAGATGATGAGAAGGGAAATCATTGAATTATTTATAATGCAAAAGCCACAGCTGGGATCATCTTAAATAGGCAGCTTTTATCCAGAATGAAGTGTCTGGTTAAGGGACTTCCTCTCTTTGTCTGAGGATAAAAAGAAGGTGTAGAACATGCTGCGGCTGCATACTTCTTCAGACGGTTCCATCCGCCGCCTATTCAGCTTGAGATGCAAAGAATAAAGTCGGACAAAGTTTATCATTTGTTATCTACAGGACGGTTTGTTCTGTAGATAACTAGACTTTTTAATTAGGCTGTTGCGCCCTGTTGCATGCTTCTTCAAATTCAAACTCCACCCTTCTTTTTCATGATAGCCTTGTTCCAATTCGGACTTACAGTGATCATTCTGGTGAAGCCAGTCACTGTGCTGCAGTATGAAAGCTGCCGCTGCAGTTCATTAATGAAAGATGTTATCAGTTTGGCACTGGAGGACTTTGCCATTTTCCGTCTGATGTTGATATGGGCTCCTGTTTCAATACCCTGCATACTGAAGTGGTAATGATCCCTCATTGTCGGCGTCCTGCTACTGTATGAGGGTTTGTTGATGTTCACTCTGGGACTCCTGGACTTAGACTGCATGAATAGACAGAACCCACATTACCACACGTTGATAGTAGCCAGTGAGTTGCTAATGAGCTTTTTTTTTTTATACTCACACCCCCCCCTCCCTGCCTGTCCTGGACATTAGTTTCCACTTCCTTACCTGTGTTGCAGGCCTTCTGGGGCACGCCTATCTGTCTGTGTTTGTCTGACCCACTTCCTCCCCTGGCTGAGGGGGAAACGATGACATTGAGAGATTTTCCTGCCATTATGTAGAGTAAGCAACCCGAGAGGTCATTTTGTCGCCACAGCCCGTGTCAGTCCCCTCCCCTTTTTTCTGTCCTCTCTTCATTACAGAAGTTTCATTTAGTAAATCAGCCCAATAACACGCATACAACTTTGACAACTGTTGATGTATTTGTGGGAGGGCTTTGGTATTTCAAAGTCCTCCCCTAGAGTTCAGTTGGCTAACTGCTCTGTGTGGCAGATTTTTGTTTTGTTTAATCGTTTGAAATGACTTGTAAAGGAATAGTGCTATAATTGGTTTAATGTCTAATGTGTGCATGTATTGTTGATGAGGAATCCTGCTGTGCTTTGAGCTATAAGGTTGGATAAAGCAAAGTAAAGAAGGCAATTCAAGTACTGACTAAAAGTCCTCTAGCTAAACCTGCCATTACTTGAGCGGTTTTACATCCCATTATCTTCATATTATCTATATTTCTCCACAACATGTTCACAGATGGATCGTGAGATAGCTATGCTTGGAGGTTGTTTCATTAACTTTTGTAGGGGCTCATGCTGTGCGATGTCCAGCTTCATCTCAGTGGCCACTTGGACATTATGCCTCCTCTGCACACGCAAAAGTGAGCATGAATTATTAAAGAGCGTACACATGCACACACACGTGCTGTCCTCGTGTATCTAGATTGGCAGTATTGCACTCTGCTGATACATAATGCAGAAAGGATTTATGGTAATTGCTCTTTGACAGCGTGTGAGTGTGTGTGCGATGCAGTGTCCGGCGGTTTTGCTGCTAGCTCTGGGACGGCTACATTTATTTTTCTCTTTTTCTAGCTCTCTCTTACTTTGCACATGTCCTTTAGCCCAGGCATGTGGCATCAATACACCACTCATCGTTTAACTGAATCTCTTATTTTCTTTCACTGTGCTCTCGGATGTTTTCCATGTCAGCGTGTTTGGCTCTGCCTTTATCAAATGAAGTTTGCTTCCTGTTTTCGCAGAGACTCGGGAAACATTTCAGCTGGTTGGAATGTTTGTGTGAGTTATTAATTTAGGGAAATGCTTTGTTTTCTGCTCTTGCAGCAGATGTTGAGCCAGAGGTGGATGCTAGTTCAAGGCTAGGTCACCTAACGGTAAGTGCAGAGTTTCACCTGTTGTGATGACAAGTGCTAGCTGTCTAACAAACTGACACCGTGACTGGAGAGCAGAGGCGAGTCTACATATGGTTCCTGCCATGCTTGACCCCCAGACCCAACCTTAGAATCTACACATTCATATTCTGTGCTGCTGTTAGCAGGGAGGAGGAATGTTACAGGTTAACCCAGAGGAAGTCAGCCTGCAGGCCAGTGCTTATGCAGGGCCCCTGCCTGCTCTGGCCTGGACAATGTCCTACAGTTAGCGTGGAAGCAGCCGGCACACAGCACAGGAAACAGCTCTCAGCCTCCACTATTTCACTCTTTTCTTCACTCAAGATCACAATCTTTTCCCTTTGCTGTGACTTCTCTTTCCTCGCTTGTCTGTCTTCTGCTGTCACAGTTCATGCGTGTTTCTACTTTTCAACTTCACTTAAAATACATACTGGCTTCTTCAACGTCACTCCACTAAGTGTATTTAAAGCCTGTGGCGCACTCTTCCCTGGTTTGTATGAAGTCGGCTTGGCTAAGAGCATTGGGAGAGCTCTGCCCTAGAAATGTCACAGATACAAAGTGTTTCCAGCTCAACTGGGTAGTCCGTGTCACAGGGAGCTTTATTAGGCCCGGAACCAGCAGTATATGGGACATTTAACCCCAAGGGAGACCTGTGACGCATCTCCCTTCTGCTTTTGTACCAGATCCGGGTGAGAACTAGTCGAGGAACTGCCACTGTCTGCTTGTTAAAATGACAAATATTGTCTAAAGAAATTGGGGCTGAGACATTGACATCGATACAGACACACAGGAAAATGTTGAAATGCACTGATACAAACTATAAACACACACAATTGATATTGCTTTGGATTTCAGTCTATGAACCCATGTGTTAATTAATGCTCTACACGTGTGACCTAACAAACGGGAACATGCTGAGTCATCAAAGCATTCCATATAAACAATTCTTCCATACATCCTTCCTTTTCCTATTTTGTAACATGTATTAAATGACACCAGGATATTACTTTTCCACATGTGTTATTTTAGACAGCTGATCTGACACTCGACTGTTTCCCTGGTTTATTCAGGAAAGACCAGAACCTGCTGTCCCCGGTCAACTGTTGGTACCTGCTGCTGAACCAGGTGAGGAGGGAGAGTAAGGACCACGCCACGCTGAGCGACATCTACCTCAACAACGTCATCATGAGGTTCATGCAGATCAGCGAGGACTCCACACGGCTACTCAAGAAGGTGAGGACAACACTTCGGCTTTGATCACACTATTGCTAAACAGGATTGTCTGGAAACTTCTAAATAGGGTGCTTTTGGTCACATTTGGTCATACAATTCATGAAAAATATCTTCTCAATCTGACATGTTTTGATCTTGTTGTGTCAATTTAGGTTTGATGTAATCTTTACGTTTTTTTCTTCCAAAATGGTCGAACATATAGAGTTGTTTTTGTGGTACCCATATAGAGGGTTTTAGATGTATAGGTTGAAAGGGAATCCCAAATATGTAACAGACTGAAAAGAAATGGGACTATATTTGGAATGAAATAGCTGACAAAAACCATTTTGCACAGAAAGAAATTGGAAAGAAAATACAGCACCTTCTTTGTACCAAGTTTAATGTTACTGTGGTTACTTTGTTCACATATTGGAACACGTTCTGATTGAATGTGTTCAAACGTAGCCTGCTGCCCTCATGTACGTCTCACTCACCATTTTCCTGGCACTTGTATGCCCCTTAGGCCTCCTTTCGCTTCATTCTTCCCTCACTCGTTCTTATTCATTTTTGTTGTACTTTCTACTGTACTGATGTTTGATTTCTACTAGAAGAGGTCAGATGTGATACTCCTTTGATCAACAAAACAAAAGTTGGACCCCACCGCTAACACAGTCCAGATTTTTCACGGCGGTCAGACGGGGCAGCTGTGTCTCCAGTCACTCATGTGACATAAACACTCTTTCACTTTCAATTAACGTATTCATTTGACAGTAGAGTATATATAGTTGCATGACAGGAAACTAACAGTATATAATAATAATCTCTGCGTTTGATGGGATGAAAGTCAGGCTCCTGTGGTGGAGTTTTGTGAATTAGAGTAATGCGGGGGAGCCTCGGTCACCACAGTTTCAGATCAGTATGCCTCCACTCCCCCCGTCTGAGGGACTGTGGCTTCATGGCTGAAACTGGGCCTCTGCTGCCTTTTTTCACCACAAAGACGACAACTCCCTAGAAGATTATGAGCTCCTATGCTGCAGGAGTCACATGAACTCACCACAGGCCAAAATTACAAAGTGGCCTCTCTTCAGAGGAGTGCCTTTGTGTCAGTTAAAGCTTGTGCGACTTTTCTCTACCTCTGTTCCCACTCTTTCTTTCTTTTTTCTGTATTTGTTGCTCCACTTTACAGAAAAACCTGACCATGTATCCTCCAGATAAAAAAAAAAAGTGAGGCTCCTTTTTGGTTCTTGAAGTTATTAACATCCCTTGATGTTAGTGGTTTGATCTGATTGTAAGGGGGCGTGGTCTTTGCATACTCAAACATACCCCCAACACACAAACAGGAAGCTACAGCAGTCATTTCCTTTTGATAGTGTTTAAATGCTTATGAGGCAAAATTTGAAACAGACAGTCATTTTTCAGAAGCTACAATTGTTGCCTCCCCCGACTCAAAACACTTTGATGATTATAATGGTATCCTGCTTTCAAAACGTCCTCACAATCATCAGGGCCAAGTAGGAAACCTTCTATACGATAATCTTCATAAAAAAATCAGCAGCTCTTTAATTTGAACTCTTCCATGATTTGTGACCTAATGACTCCAAATAAAGGCAGGATTGTATCCCTACACTGGACAAGTATCAACCTCTTCATATGATTTAAGTGCTTTTTCTACTATATTCATGTCTGCGTCATTATTGCTGTGGAATATCCAAAGTCTAACCACTTTGTATGATAGCTGTCCCTTTTAAAGTTTGTAATGCAGTTTCCCAGTGGATCCAGGTGACATTGTGCAGACTGATGGGAGGTTCCGTTTCTTTAGAGACCCGAGACACGGCTCGCCCTCTAATTAAAGCTTCCCTGAGCCTTTGATCTCAGCAGAGCTTCACTAACTAGACACAAACAACGGAGAAGTCTCCCATGTTACGTGGCCTCACTCACAGCTCAGAGGAGACAGCTGTACTGTTGTCATCCTTCCAGCACATCAAAGACCCGTGCTTTTATTTTCTTGTATGTTCAGGTTGCATGCTGAGAGCAACAGCGGAGAACGACCTCAGAGTAGCCCCGGCGTCTTCGTCAACATCCTCTGGTTAACCCGTTTGGCATTTGTTTCTTCAGTGCTGCATTGCGGGTCACTTTATAAAAATAAGCCACAGCCAGAAAATCTTTTAGAAACATCCTCTTTTTGTTTGACTACATGAGTGAAATATTGGACCTCTCTTCTTTTATGCTTGTGTAGGTCTTCTCACATGTATTCAGTTTCCATTATTCATACAACCATCTCTTTATTTTACTCTGCCCTGTTTTATTTAGTGGCTACACGGTGGAGATCCTGAAGCCTGAGCCAGTCTTGAACTTTTTCTCAGGCAAAGCATGTGCTGGAAAGTGTTTATCTCACAATAAGCCTTATAAGCCACTGGTGTAAATGATAAAGTTAATGTTTGAATTCCATTTAGCAGCTTAGTTTCAGGCGTCCTTGAAATGTCATGCTGACTCACTGCTACAATGTCATTGTGTATGGGGCACTTGAATGAAACAAGCCTTTGCTAATGTCAGTGGCGAGCCGTGACTTTTATACCTGGGCCCTCGGAGAAAAAAATAAGAGTTATTACGTCACAGCGTATACTTCAGCGGAATATCAAAACGCATCAATGACAGCGACCCTCTACCACATAAAACAACACCATTTATATAAACACCTATCATGACAGGGCACCCACAGCCAACTAACAATTACAAATGAATTAAGTCGGCACGGCGGCCCACATTGAAAATGACTTAGGCCTAGTTTTGATGATCAAATCACTTAAACACAAAGTCCATCCTCCCGTCCTTTTGGATGAAGCACTTGATGGCGGGTCATGCAGATGATCCTTTGCCACTCCAGTTTATCATTGTAACTCAATCTTGAAAATGACTCGGTTAATAATTTGGCAACGATGTCATCACTATCACTGACATGAGCCATCATGAACAAACTTATGCTAATCATAAATCTATCGATTAGATTTATGATTAGAAAATTATAAAAGTAGGGTAGACGTGTCAATGGTCAATTGTACTGTCATTTGACATTACTCTCTCGTTGAGTTACTATAGCGGGCCCTCTGTAAATTTACAGCAGGACCACCAATCAGCTCCTATCTTCACCTCAGCTCGCAGAGATGGCTAAAGGAGCTTCTTTCATTTAACCCTTCACATTCAAACAGAAACTGAACAGGCAGATTCGAAGGATTTATTTCTTTGGAAATGTTATTTTAAATACAATTAAATCAAGTTATTTTGGTAAAACTAATGAAATATAAATATAACTAAAAAAATATTTAAAAATAATATATTTAAAAAAATGTTTTTTTAATGTTTTCAAATATTATTTTTTAGAATATCTTAGGCACTCAGAGAGGGCCTAGAGGGCCCTGACGTTCACACATTAAGCCTACTTCAACATTGTGAAAAATACGCGAGGAGCTAATCAAAATTAATAACATGTCTGTGCTTTGAGTGCAGAGCTGTAGTCAGGATGTGGTTTGTCCATCTTCAAACCTAGATTAGGACTAGGTGTGGAGGAAACCGCTAGCTTAGCCCTGTCAAAAGTGAAACAATATGCCTACCAACACCTCAACTATCACTAGTATACTTTTTAGTTTAACCTGTACATGAACATAGAGGTAAGAACGTCAGTCTCTGGTTTTACAGGGAGTTAGAGGAGCCAGTACAGTAGTGTGCAAATCCTCCCAAAGTGTTTTTCTCACAGTTTGGGCTGGCAGGTTTTGTGCCCTTTTTGTCTAAACCAAAACCTGCTTAATGACTGAATCTGGCAACCTTTGCTATAGCAAAAGATTATTCAGAGAATGGTTGACAGAAGAATAAACGGTGTAACTCGACCTAAAACATAAACAACTCTTTTTCACTTATTTGTTCAAGCGTGGTTCAAATAAAATATATCTAGTTAAAATATCAGAAATAGCCATGCTAATCTATATGCTGAACTAAGGACTAACGCTCTGTCAGCAATGCATTGACATGGGACTAATGTTGATCTATGTATCTCACTCTTGTAATTAACGTTCCCCAACTATCATTTCGTTTAAAATGAAAGGATTTATATAATTTGGTAAAGGCTGTTTTATCCAACGACTGTGTCTTCGTGACAAGGCACTCGTAGCTTTCCTAACACACGTGCACAGGCCCAGCCCGCAGGGTATAAGAAGGCAATCTCTATACCATGATTAATGTCAGTGGCAATATGAAACCCACCACTCCCCAAAGGCTGACTTGGTTTCTCCTCTCTGGGTTTTTTTCATCTTTCGAATGTGGTTGGAATACAGATGGTATGATCTTTTTTAATGAATTAGGGGGGTTTCCAATCGGGTCTAACTGAGATTCTTTTAAAATGAAAGAGGGTAAGTTTTGCAAATTAAATAAAAAACATCAGTTGCACAACACAGCGTTTAGTGAACAGCGCTTATTGCTTGTAATTTGAAGTACACTGTGTGTGTGTGTGTGTGTGTGTGTGTGTGTGTGTGTGTGTGTGTGTGTGTGTGTGTGTGTGTGTGTGTGTGTGTGTGTGTGTGTGTGTGTGTGTGTGTGTGTGTGTAGTGTTGTGTGTGTGGTGTGTGTGTGTGTGTTGTGTGTGTGTGTGGTGTGTGTGTGTGTGTGTGTGTGTGTGTGTGTGTGGTGTGTTGTGTGTGTTGTGTGTGTGTGTGTGTGTAGGGTTGTGTGTGTGTTTGTGTGTGTGTGTTGTGTGTGTGTGTGTTGTTGTGTGTGTGTGTGTGTGTGTGTGGTGTTTGTTTGTGTGTGGTGTGTGTGTGTGTGTGTTTGCATTTAGCAACACTTTAAAAGAGTTAATTTCACAGAGTTCTTCAAATAATTATGTTAGTTGTAGGTTTTCCGGGGAAGGCGCGCTGAATGTAATGCCCTTTTACTTTTATCTCGTTCTTTACACACACACAGATATAGATACACACTCACAGCTCATGTGATCCTTGAGAGGGCTTTTCATTGAGCTCTGGATCACTTCCCAGCCTTCTGAATGAAGAGCTGACGAGTGTTGGATGTGACAGATAGTCAAAGGTTCTGTCCTCTAAACTGAAGATTGCTAATGGGTTTTCCCACAGGAGAAGGCCTGTGTCTTTACGATCCTTCATGATATGTAAGGCCTTTTTGTTAAACTGTCATGTTTTGTGAGATACAATTATGGATCTAGTATTAAATCAACGCATAGATCATCCTCTTAATAACCAAAGATTTAAGACATGTTTCGTAGCTGGCTTATCTACACGCTGTTCTCCAACATGCCTGAGTTTGACTCTTGCCAAGTGCTGGTGTTCCTAAAGCTCTGATTATCCCAGCTTACACACAGTTTACACTCAGGTTAAGTAAGAATCAGGGAAGTGACAGAAAGGTGGTGTTTGGGAAGAAGTTGCCAATCAACCAGGAGAACCAGCATTACGCTCTAATTTAAGTCGCCATCATGGCATCCTGTAACTAAGTGTAATCCTCTTTGCTGTCTATTCGTATTCTGGTACATCATGGATCTTAACCTGTACTTGTGAAGAACGAGAGTGAGAGTTTGTATTAGTGTTACTGTGCATTAGAACAAACATGCTTGTGAAGTCCCCTGGATCAATAAGGTGTGTGACCTCAATAGGGCTTCTTACTTGTTGCCAACACCCACATGAGGCAAGACGTGTGCAAGGTCCCATAATGTGTGTGACTCCTCTTATCTCAAGTCAGGAAATCCAATACATGGTTCAGTGCAGTGCGTAGGATATTATTGCCATGAACAACGGCATGTGCAATGCATGCAGTGTTGTTTGTTTCAGCTTACCTATATGTATGCATTGAGCCCTGCAGCTAATAACAGCAGATTGAGTGCTCATACATTTGATGATAAAAAAGAAAAAGAAAAAACCTTTGGAAAAGTTTCCATTAATGATCTAGAGTGCATATGTTACACTGTTCAACAATTCATTGTTAAACCTAACAATTAACTTTGTACACTGTAAAGATATTTTCTCCAACTTGCCCTTAGGTTCAAGTTACTTTTAGGTTCAGTATTTTTCTCAAGATGCATTGTGCGCTACTGTAACGTTACCCAGGTGTGTGTGTGTTCCTCATTACACATTAGAAAAGTCAACATTTAAAACGTTTTAACCTGCATTTCTTATGGAGGTCTACTAGCTTGCACTCTTCTTTCTTGCCTTCTTTACTGCATTCCTTCAATTTCTTCTGTATTGCGTTCCCTGCCTGTTTTGCACATAAGGAAAACAACTACCCCCTCATAAAACAATCTATGTATAGCACTACTTTTGGACAGAAACTCCACAGTACATATTTTAAATGATTTATTGCAGTTGTAGCTATAGTTTTAATTTAATTCACACCGAAGTACTTTTCCCAGGAATAGTTCCGATAGTTCCTGGGATTTTGCGTTCACACCAAAAAGATCTGGAACTAGAACTTTTTTTCACGAACCTTTTCACCCCTTTTCAGTCCCTGCTAGAGAGGTGGTACTTTCTTGGGGAGAAAAATGTTCCAATTTCTGATTGGCTGGGGGAATTGCAAACCACGCCCCGTAAAACTCAGAAAGGTTTTGTGAAGCCGCCATTTTATTTGCTCGCATTAGCATTATTAGCATTAGCCCAGCGCACCAACGGAGAGAGACTATCTTATGGCAACACAAAATAAAACGTGGGAACGGTGGAGTGATGAGGAGGTGTCTGCGCTTCTGGCGATTTACCCGGGACTTCGGGTGGCAGTATACGCCGTGAAGTTGTTTGCGGCCTGCCAGTAAACCCAAAGCAGAAAAAGAAGAAGTGACGTCAGCGGCTTCATTTGCGTAATCCTCCCTCAGGGACTTTACTAGATAGTTCAGGAATTAAAGAGTTCCGGGAACTATTCCTGGGAAAGTACTTGGTGTGAAAGCGCCTATTGCCCTCTAAAAAAGCACTGCACTCCATTCTTGATCAGAAGTACATCACCACTCTATCCCACTACACCCGCTGGTTCAATACCTTCACAGAACCCTCTTTCCGCCTTTTGCTGAGAGAGGCTCCCAAAATGAGATTTGTCTAGGGATAATTGGGTTAAAGAAAGACCTGGAGTGCTGGGCGGAGGCTGTAACATTATCCAGGTAGCAGAGCGTAGTATCAACTGTAGTAGAGATCAAACATTTCATTGTCATGACTCACAGAATCTGAGTCAGTGTGAAGGAAATATGGGAGCTCTACTGTCAAATTAATAGTGAAAGCCCCTCTAAATCCATCACAGCAATACTGTTAAACTGTATCCGGCAACCGTGAGGTGCATTAATGTGGGCGTGTGTGTGTGTGTGTGTGTGTGATAGTATTACTGAGTCAGCCTTGTGGTGTGGCTGATTGAGTTAACATATTTGGGAAAAATCTTTTACATTGAGGCGTAGGAGCCAGATAATGTGTTGAGCATGTGGAGGGTGAAACCAGAGCCGTGTTTGACGATTAGAGTGGAAAGGCTGCCGTGACACTGATACTGCTATCACTCAGAAACCCTGTATTTGACACAGGGTTATAAATCCACTGCTCTGTTTTTTATTTGTACCATGCAAACCACGGGTCAATGTCTGGTCATTGTCCGCCATTCGTATAAAATATACAGTAAACAGTCTGGTCAAGTTTCAGTTTTATAAAGCTTGTGTTTATAATGGAAAATCACAAATGGCTTGAATTGGGTATACTCTTTAATTTATCTTTGAGATAACTTATTTTGTGTATTTAATTGTTTCAATTTACTGATTTGTTGTAATTAGTCTCATTGATTGTTCTTCTGTGTTCCCTTTTCAGAGCAAGGAAATAGCCTTTCAGCTCCAGGAAGACTTAATGAAGGTCCTTAATGAGCTATACACAGTAAGTAGTAATGACTCACCTTCTTTTCTTTCTTTTACTAATTCAAGTACATTAGTCTCTGCTGTGGTGGAGACTGGTTTATAGCATTGAGTTGTTGGAGATGTTGAAGGAATAACAAATTAAACATTCAACTAAATATGCACCTATCAACTTCTCTGTCTAATCTCTTTTTCAACACAAAACTGAAACGCAACCTCTCTTACCCAAATGACCTGGATATTCAAACTGCGAAGGTTCAGCATCATGTTTGCTTGACTCCTTAGTTTTCATATTCTCTGTTTTATTGGCTTTTATCAGATTGGTTTGCTTGCTCTTCAAAACAAATGCATGGGAAGCCACACCAGGTGGTTGGAGCCAGATAACAACTTGTGGATACATATTGCTTTCTTTAAATAAAAAAAAGAAATTACTTTTGGCAATGATGCCTTCATTCAAAAGTTGACGGAGACAGATAGGAGGCCTTAGAGTGAGGGAGAGATTACATGCATCAAAGTCCTCAGTGGGAATCAAATCAGGAATGTTGTGATTACATGGTATTTTCAGAAACACAAAACGGTAAACATAGCTTTGGCTACAGACCTTTGAACCCAGAGGTTGCATTTTCTCAGGGGGATTAGTAGCATTTTAACCGACCATAACACTTTAGCGTTAAATCATCTGCATTGCTGCTGCCCAGTTTCTATGGAGGCGTTTCATCTCTTCTGTTCAAAGTTGCTATGACCTTGGCAGGGAAAAGTTTTTAAATCATGAATCAATAGCTAATTCCTCTGCCTTAATCGCTCCAGTCAGCCCTGCTAGCCTATTTGCCTTGTTTATTGCCTCACAAATGTTGTTTGACCATCAGATGCTTGTGTATTCTTAGAAAGGGCGACTGGAATTAAATGAAAACCATGTTGTTTTTATATGATTGCTTTATAGTGTTTATAGTGTGATATAGTCTACCCTAAGTATTGTTGGGCAAGCTTCTTTGAAATCACTGCTTTGCAAGCTACCAATTACTTCACACAAGAACTACAGCAAAACTAAGTTTTTGAGAAATGGTCACTGGTCATTCATGAACCAAAATGCTGCCACAGTCAAATGTCTTTACATTTTCACTCTCTTAGACCATTTGACTGGCTCAAAAAGTGATCCTGACTATTTGAATCGTAAATGGCAATGTCATTAACTACTAGCAAGCTTCTGCGATATGTAGTTAAACTACTTGTTTAAATACATTATTTGCAGGTCACTCACAGGCATCGACAATTACAAACTTGACATCATAGAAATACATAACATATGAGAGAAACACATATAATTCTACCATTCTGTAAATCTGTGGTCTTGTGTAATCAATCAATCATTGTGTCATTCCTTCCCATTGATCAACAACTTTATATTGATCATATACCTGGGTTGTACACAGATAGAGGTACTAGTCGATGCAGTTGTTGCTGGTTCCCAAGAGATGGAGTGAAAAGCAGCTCGGTTGGCTTCACAGTCTACAGTTCCTCACTACAGAGGATTATGGGCATGCTGCTCCAAACACAACAAACGTGTATCTCCAAACTCAATATGTGTCACTTTCACCATGCTCCACACTCCAGATATGACCTGGTTTAGCCCCTATGGGAAAGCACACACACGTACAAAAATATTCTCAAACACACAGTAGCTATTGCATCAGACAGCCGCACTCCCAATGTCGAACCCCGCCAATGAAATAACAGGTCTGCTCCATCTCTAAATATGTCCCTCTAAAAAGAAACACCAAAGTAAACACAGCAGCGGCAGACTCCAGACCAGTAAGTGAGGAGTACAGGGCCCAAGGTCAGTCAGCCATCTCTAAACTGGTTCCAGTTAGGCCAAACCAAACCGGAGCCAGAGCGCTCCACACAAATCTCGCTTTGCTTCGTTGTTCCACTCGTACAGAAATATCTCAGCTTGGGGGAAAGATGTTTGGATTTTGAGATGGGTGGGACTCTTTTTGTATTGACGTTGAGGTTTTTTGCAGACGAGTGTATTGCGTACACAGGTTTGTTAGAGTTGGTTCACTTCAGGTTAAACCACAGGTGCTCTATATCGCCGCCTTCTCCTGGGAGTTTGAATGTATTTTTAGCCTGTTTTTTGTTCAGTATGCAGCTTTTCAGAAGATTCATTGTTTGGAGAAGTTTGACCAGATGTAAGCGGTTCACAAAATATAGTTCATTTGCTGTAGTTGAACACACTTTATTCCAAAATGGGGCTGCAACTAACAACAACATCTACCCTAGTTTCTCTAAGTCCAATGTGATACCTTTAAACGTTATCTATTGTCAGTACAATATCCAAAGATGTTCAGTTTTAAATAAACGAAAGGTGGAAAGCTGGAAAATCTCAATATATGAGGCTCAAAAACTGCTCTTATTGCCACGGCACAAAATATGACTTTCTTTATCAAAATGGTCGGTGATAACTTTCCTTTCAATAATTGATAAGTTGACTAATATATTTGAAAGAGAATATAAGATAAATATAATATTTGACAGTTTATATGTTTTTAATGTTTGGATAATTATAATTAAAACTTTAAAGATAATTCTTTCAAATAAAGTAAAGTCTTTCCCTTCTCCTTCTCTCCACTCCTACACCCATGAGATGTTGTGAGCAGTGCACCTGCTTTTAGGCTTTTTATACTGATATACCCAACACCAGAATGTGGTTTGGGAAATTAATAAAGGGGTGGGACTTTACTAGGGCCCATACAATTATTTTACATACAAATTAGTTATAATAATGTAAATGCCCATTGATTGGAGTTCACCGCTCTTGCTGATGACTCCATGTTATCGTCAAAGGATTACGTTTTTCTCCCACAGCAAGTGATTCATCAGCTCCGTCCTTCGAGCCCCCTCATGTGTCACTCCTCCTGACGATGGTAGCCAGTGCTAATGAGACTATTATACCCGCTTGCTCTCTTCAAGAACTCATTGTTAGTGTTTTATGGTTAACCTGCTACTCTACGATTGAGTCACCCTCCAATGGGTTCATGGAGTGTGTATGAGTAACGCTCGCACTCCAACTTACTCTGAAGAGGATGACTCAGACTTTAGGAAGTAGTTCTTATCAGTTGTTCATTATCAAACTGAAGCTTTCCTCTAGTACGTGACGACACAAGGGGTGGAAGAATTCAACTTATATTTCAGTATAGCATTACATAGATCTCTATAAGGAAATATTTAAGAGCCATATCCTACATGCTAAACAGATATACATTTTGGAACTAGCGAGGTATAACTTTGTTCATGTTTTAAAACAAAATAGAGCTTCAAAGATACGCCAACCCCTTTATAACCTCAACCAGAGTGAAACCCAGATGCAGGAAAACTCAGATCAAGGAAGGCCCTATGTTAGATTTAGCTGCAGTGATTTGTGGTGGTTGTGGTCAAATGAGGGGCCTCATATACAAAGTCTTGAGAGAATCTGTCTTTGGTTTGTTGGTTTACGGAGAGACAGACTGCCAGCTGTGAGATGAGCTGATGAATGACAGGGTCCAAGGATGGAAACCTTAGTTGTGGGTTATAAGAGGTCAGTCTCCTCTATGAAGATGGATTACTGTGACCTTTGACCTCACCATAACATAACACGTTTTCAGGATCTTGCCCTTTGCCAATCTTAAGAAGTGCTGCATTACCTCTTTTCACCCTCTGTCAGAAACCAGAGCCCAGTCTGCTCTGAATGGTTAGCTGGCTGGCTCTTTTGTGATTGATCAACAGCTTAGAGATGTCCCGCCCCTTATTCCGTCACGTACAATGTGTTTGAAGGCTAGCCAATAGAAAGTGTACATATTGATTTCACTATGTCACTGAAGAAAAAAAAGGAGTCCAATGGAGGAGTTTTAGGCAGGGTGGGGGGAGTGTGGGAAACCCCCCCCCTCGAGGAAACGTTGGGATTTTAGCCTCTGCAGACCATTTACATGCACATAACACTACAGGAAAAGGGGAAACCAAAAAGCATAATAGGGCCTCTTTAATAACTGTTTTGCAGCTTATTGACACTTTTGTTTGTCTCCAGGTGATGAAGACGTACCACATGTACCACACAGAGAGCATCAGCGCCGAGAGTAAGCTGAAGGAGGCCGAGAAGCAGGAGGAGAAGCAGATCGGCAGGGGAGAACCCGTCTTCAGCATCCGAATGGAGGACAAATACCAGAGGCGCAGCTCTGTGAAGAAGATCGAGAAGATGAAAGAGAAGGTACGATTACAGCACTTAGCGATCTAATCACATTTGTGACTATTGCTTTTAAACTCCATTAGTAGTAACAGCATTCCCTGTTTTATTTAAGTAGTTCAAACACAACTAAAATATCTGATTAGGAAATTTGCCTCATCAGGGACACAGCATGTTTTTTTTACTCAGACCTGATCTGAGAAAAGCAAAACAGACTGAGAGCGTTTTCGCGACCAAAGAGCGGGCTCCGTTTTCCCAGAACACGCCTGCTTTCTATTTCATCTCTGCGACTGATATTCCAATGGCCTTTTAAGGGTGGCTCTTCCTGGAATGCATTCGGGAAGTGTTAAAAACATGGACGCTTTGGAAGTGTGAGTCAGGAACATTGGTCAGAAGATGGTGACTAACTAACGGACTTGTATTTGTCTGGTAGAGAGGAAGTGTATGATAAAAACAGATGGCTCCTGGAGGTTGAAGTGAAGGACACGGGCTGTTTTTAGTTTATGCCTCTTTCCGTGCTCGTTCCTTTTTTTGTGCTATTTTTATCATAATTGTACAAATTCCTACTGTAATGTTTATTAAAGCTGTTGTTTTGCCGTTAATCCGGTCTCAGCTCTTAGAGGAATACATGAAAGCACAGGCACTTTGTCAGAAAGGCAATTCTCGACTCATTAAATCCATCCTCTCTCCTTCGCTTTGTTGTCTGTTTCTCATTCTCTTCCTCTAATTCTCTCATCAGCGTCAAGCCAAGTACTCCGAGAACAAGCTGAAGTCGATCAAAGCGCGCAACGAGTACCTGCTGACTCTGGAAGCGTCAAACTCCTCCGTCTTCAAATACTACATCCATGACTTGTCGGACTTAATTGATGTAAGTATAAAACCACATGCCTCTATCAGCCCTGTTCGAGACGGCTTCATCTTCTTTGTCTCCATTGATGCTGGGAACATTTTGCTGAGGACTTTCTCACATAAACAGAACACCTTGCAGCCACATCAGGAAGATGTTATTATGCTTCTTTATGCTCTTCACACAGAAGACCCGTTGCTATTCAGGGTTTCTTCTTTCACAGACTCTTAGAAGAGATTTCAATCTTGATCAGAGGAGAGGCTGATGACTTAAGCAGGCGGTTCTGATATAACAATGATCTCAGGACAGCAGACTGTGGGATGGAAATTACAGTTCAGGGCTGAATTAAAGCAGCTTATTACTTTTGTGATGAAAAATATTCTTTCCTCACTTCCTTCTATTCCTGTCATTATTGAAAACCCACATATTATATTAAGTTCTACTCTGTTTTCCTGATATTCTGACATTTCCACATCTTTCAGACATTTTCTTTTGTCATCTTCAGCTGTGGGTCATCACTCCATTTACTTGAGAATCACGTCTCCCTAGGCTTTCTTTTATGCAATCTGTTTGTTTGACCTTTTTGTTACCGTAGCAATATACATGGCTTATTTGTATATAGCTTACCTGTGTTATTATTGTTATTTTGTTAGAGAAATAAACTTACTTTGCTATTTCCTGTGGCCTTTCTAAGGAAATGGGTGGAGGCCAGGTTTTTAGCCAGGGTTTTTGGGTTTAATATCCAAGACGAGAGAAGAGGAATGCAACCTCTCTTCAGCCACATGCTGTGTGCTGAAATTACCCCTCTGCCTGCTTTGCTCAAAAGCCTTCACATCGCACCAGGGTGTGTGTGTGTGTGTGTTACTGTGTGTGGGATGCGCTCTGCATGAGCTGTAGGAGCACGCTCGCACACATTTGTTTATTGATGAAGTGGACTTTTTATCGTCGATTGCATTTGCCTATCACTCAAGCCATGTTAAATTTCTCTTATGTAAATGTGCGTGTGTGTTTTTGTGGTTGCCTGAGGCTTGTGTGTCTTCCTAGGAGAGACCTTGGCCAAGGTTTTAGTTATTAAATATCAGCATACTTTCCTGGAGGAAACATTTAATAATATTGAGGAAAAGTTGTGTAACACAAAGGCAACACTGCTGACTGTTTATAAGAGACTGTTGGCTTATTTAAAAGTATATTTAATTTGTAGTCTGTTTAGCCTTCCAGTCTGAGACTTAATTCTTAGAAAGTGTTTTGTATGACCACATTAAGTTATGTTGTTTTTCAAACTAAATGTACTCAAGTTGTGGATTCCTGTGAAATCTTAATGTTTTCCTATGTGATATTTAATATATATTTTGGGTTTTGGACAGTGGATAAGACAAACCAAGCCGTTTGAAAATGTAAACATAGGCTTTATGAGGTTGTGATTTTCACTTTTCTTACAATTTATTACAAGGAAAACAGGAATTGTTGGTTGCTGCAGCTCTTGTATGGTATTAGTGTGTTTATTATGAGACCTGTAGTATCACGTTGACCCTGTTCTCCCCTCTCCTCCAGTGCTGTGATTTGGGGTACCACGCCAGTCTGAACCGGGCCCTGCGGACCTACCTGTCAGCCGAATACAACCTGGAGACGTCCCGGCACGAGGGTCTGGACATCATAGAGAACGCCGTGGACAGTCTGGACCCCCGGAGTGACCGACAGAGGTTCATGGAGATGTACCCTACGGCCTTCTGCCCACCGACAAAATTTGAGTTCCAGCCTCATATGGGAGACGAGGTACATAGATTGGTCAACAATAGCAGCTGATATGAAAAACTGAACTGAAAAACTGCATTTATACAAATGTTTTCAAAAGTTTTGTTTCCAAATCATCCACTTTTTGAGCTGCAGTGCACATATACTGAACGACATGGTTTGGATTTTATTATAAAAAGGTCTCAGACTTAATGAGGTCTGATTTCAGTGGCTTAAGTGCAGCGTTTTACTGCGTCTGAGCGGCTGGATCAGGTTTTTATGGGGCACAGAATATGACAAATCATGTGTTAATTCTCCCCCTGCAGTCATGAGGCTCAACATGTGTTTGGAGTTTTACTGTTTGGCTGGCACTGCGGACGCTGATATCATGTCTGTTTACACTCTGTTGTTGTCTGCATTCAGTTGTGAGACGTCACTGTGGTTTGCTCTGCAATTGAAGAAGAATTTGAGTGCCTGCATCTTGTTTAAAACAGAGGACACGTCGCTTGCCTTTTATTTCAGAGGGTTGTCACTTGAAATCCTAATTCCTGACAATGTGTTTCCTTTTTTCCCCCAGGTGTGTCAGATCTCAGTGCAGCCACCGGTGAACGGAGAGCTCATCCTGAGGTTCCAGCAGCTTCAGTCCCGCTTGGCAACTCTGAATATTGAGAACGAAGAGGTAAAGCAATACAAATAAATAAAATCATTACACGTATGTTTTTATTTTTGATCCGTGAGGTTTTTCTGTCCAACATGTCAAAACTCTTCTCCCCTGTCCCGGCGTTGTTTCCTGCTAGAGATGCGTACGTTTCTCCATGTTGCCGTTTGTTGGTTTTAAGAAGCTGACAGCTGCAGAGCTTTAAAGATACCAAAGTTAACTTTAGCCAGAAGTCGTCCAAGGTGAGACAGAAAATAGTTGCTGATGATCTCTGAAGAATCTTAATGTTTTTTGGGTACACAGACACACACAGTGTTTTTCCTGTCTCTCATGCCCTGCAGGTAGCCATCAAACCTCTCTGTGAAGCCTCCTTTTTGCTCCCACTGGTAGATTTAACTTTTTTTCATTTCATTTTCACTGTCTTACGCTGCTCTGTTTTGACATTGAAGGTGAATTGGTTTCATTTGAACCTGTCTGCAGGATGCTTGAAGAACGCAACATTCCTGTTTATACAACAAATGGGAAGAGGGAACGAAAATAAATACTGTGACTGCAACAGTTTGACGGAGTACAATTACACCAATTATGTTCGCTTTTATATCACAATAAAAGCTATCCGTATTTACCTTCTCTGTTTTTGTCCCCCACATGGGTGCATTTTTCTTTCATTTATCATGCCTTTTTTTTTAAAACATTTTGGGATTTTTCATCTGAATGTGCAAAGGATTAAAGCTGAAGAAAGTCCTTGATTGGTCAACAGACTGAGACTTAAACTGAAACTGAAAATTGTCACCATTTTGATAATCAAGCAAAAGTGATCACTCATTTTTGTTTTCACTCTCAATGTATTAGTTTTGAAATTGATTATTGACCTACATAGGTGTGTTAATTTCAGGACCTATCCTAGTCTACCATGATGAAAGACGGCTTAGTCCAGCTATCTTCCTTTTTCTCAGAAACTTCAACATTTCCCAAATAAATTCGACATAAAAATAAAACTGATATTTTTTGCCATTTCTCAACAAATCAGGAGGTACTATTATTTTCCCCTACACCTATCACATATGTGAACTTTTTCTTTCTTTTTAATTTGTTACCCTTAATGATTAACCAATGAAAATAACCCTAGTGGCAGCCTCTTTAAGCTTCCTTTGGATTGTTGTTTTGATGCTGTGTATCGAGGCTGCTCAGGCTCCTGCTCCTTCTCTCTGATGCAGTATGTACAGTATCTCTGCACCCTGTGAGTTTCTGTGTGTGAGGGTGCGAAGACAAGCCCCGGTTGCTTCATGTCCTTGTCGGCTGCCTCGCTGTAGCGGATGTCCTGGTGGGTCAGAATTGGAGGGCACTATTGCCTTGTGTTAGCATCAGCAGATGGCCTCTCTTCCTGGGCACAGCGGGCCAGATACATCCTTGAAAAAAATGAACTTTCAAGGCTCTGTGACAACCGACAAGCACAAACTGTCAAATGAAGAAAATGATTAAAAAAAATCGTTATCCGGCCAGGAAAGGCTGCAGGGCATTTCTTAATAGAAGTGCAGCTGTTTTCTAAAACCTTATTTTACTCCCGTGAAAAAGTGAAGGAAAACATTGCTGAATAATTTACTGTGCACTGTGACGGGAGGGGGGTGCGACTTGGAGAGAAAACTCTCACTCTTACTAAAGGGTTGGGGTTAACATAGCCCTGCTGGGTGCCGCACTGCAGAAATTACAATTGAATTTATTTCATTAAAATAGTCTGCTCTCTGAAGACGGTGCTCATTTCAGCTCGTCAGCCAGTCAGCCAGTCAGCGTGGTTCTTCTCCTTTTCAGATTTAATAATCTTGCCATTTAGATCTCATTTGCCTCCGTATGAAAAAGAGCACAGGTTGATGTTCCTCTCTTTTGTAATCTCAAGACATTTCACACTAAACTATGACAATCTAATACCATCTCTTTCGCGGGGAATGTTTGTTTTCCTCAGATAAATCTCAGGGAGGCACATCAAAGCCTGTGTGTTTGTTTGTGTGTGTGTGTTAATAGAGGGACGATCAGCAGATTACACACTTACTACATATTCTGTTAAAAACTATGGAGAGCAGTCTGCCTTTTGAGCTGTGAGGATAAATGTAAGGGATTTTGTACAGCTGCTGATTTTGACAGTGCAGAAGTAGTTTTCAGTGCAGAGAAGGACGACTGTAAACAAGTCTGGTATTATATTTAGCTCACCGTATTACTGCACCGTCTTTGCAGCTACGCAGGGAACACATGAGTCATGGTTCCTTATTGAAAATAAACAAACCTAATTTGATCCCGGGGACTTTTCACCAGGTTTGTTGTGCCGCTACAGGGACTATTAGGCATACCCAGCGAGTCTCTTTAAAAGCCCTGTTGTAATCGAGCCCCGCAGTGAACACTGGTAACTATTCGTCTGCTGAATAATGGATAAACTCAACAGCTTTTTCACTGGGAGCGATTCTCTCGCATGCATGGGTCCTGTCTTTCTGCTGACAGCTGGGCCTCTCGCCTCCACGGGGGCCACCCGGGATGTAGCTGTAGGGAGAGGGGGACCCGACATACTCCGAGCGTGTAACTCATGACTGCATGCATGTCATATAAGTTACTTATTTTATTCACCTGCCGTGGATTAAAAAAACCGCAGTGTAGATTTCTGAATGTTTTCTCTGTCTTTTAAAGGCAGCCAGTTTTTCATTTCACTCACAAGACAGAATTATGTTATAGCTAAGTTTTACGATGGCAGAATCCCCCATTTCCTTCACTACGCTGTCATTAGTCGTGTTTAAACCTGCCGTGTGTTTTTGCTTCAAGACGGGATGGATGACACTTTTAACTACATCCACATTGTGTTCCCCAGCATGTATGTCAGCGCTGTAATCTATCAGTGTTACACTTGAAAGAGAGTCCACCTTGCTTTTCAGGTGTTTTTTTCTTCCTTTTTGAAGGCAAAATGAGTCACAGGTCAAACTGTTTAAAAGAAAAACAACCTAATCTTCCGTTGTCTCGGTGTGTGTAACAGCACCATGAGGAATCCAGCCTGTTCTTTCATTAGCACTGAGGTCAGACTCACTTAATAACCCAGACAGGGTCACTACCTTTGAGTAGGGGGCCTCCTGACCATTAGGAGTAATTAGGAGGGCTTCCAGCTGTGACTCACTGTGGGCGGCGCTGACCTGTGATGCACACACAGTTGAGCTGCGATGGTCACAGCTCTCATAACCCCAGAGTGTCTCTGTTGAAGGAAAAGAAAAGTTTTGAGCTCAGAGCTGGTTGAGGATGTTTCAGCATCAGCAGGGCCTCTTTCCTTCTGCAGCTTTTCCACATCACTGATTCATGCTCTCAGGCTTGACAGTCTCTGGAGATCCTTCCTCCTTGTCTTATTTTATCTTTGTTTGTCTCTCCTCCTTTTTCAATGCTCCACATTTTGCACTTTTCCTTAACCTATATAGCCCTATGTTTATATTATTTGATTGATTGAAAAGGCAGAATGGTCCTTGTGTCGGCCCTCGACGTACCCCTTTTTTTTTAAGACATTTTTTATTTAAATGTCTTTCAAAATGTCATAAATCCGATGTGCAATTATTAAAGGAAATGTGTGTCATTACACATGGAATATTCAAATTAGGAATTGGACATTTTTAGGTTGACAATAGTAATTTAATTGAGTGCAAGGGATAGACTTGGGATGGACTTTTTTTTTGTTGCATAAATTGAATTTTTGGCTTGAGGGAGATATGGGTCAGTTAATCCACCCTGACTAAAATATCCCAATTATTGGATGGATTGCCATGTAATTTCGTACAGACTAACTAACTAACTAACTGTCTGCAAAACTGAGGACATTCCATCAGCCTCAATTTTTACATTTGAGCGCTAATTAACATTTGCAAGGTAACATAAGGATTTAGACTATTATACCTGCTAAACATCAACATGTTGCCATTTCTCTGTCACTGTGGATTTGTTAGCAAGCTAATGTTAGCTATTATCTCAATGTCAAGCTATGTGCTATGTTAAGTGAAGCTTCACAGAGCTGCTAGCATGGCTATGAAGTGGCACTTTTCTTTCAAAATATTACTGACAACAATTTTTATAACACCAGGACTTTTGCTCTGTAAATATTGAGACATGATTCTTGAAGTCTAAATGTCATCATCACGTCTTTGTACTGCAAGCTCTTTATTAATAGTCTGCACAATTAATTTGCATCTCTTTTGGTCTCTTCAACTTTAAAAAGCTGTCACATCCTTATTTGCCCTCCCATTCTTTTTTTACATCAACCCTCATCTTACATCCTCATTTACTGGACACAGCCAGTAGCAGTGGCCGAACATCCTTGGCAGTAAGAAGGGGGGATCACTCCGCAAAGTCCTGACTTTTATGGGCTGCGGCAGAATCACTTTTTCAGAGAGGGTAGAGGCGGTTTTGGAAATGTATCTTAAAAGCCTGTGACTGAATGTATCGTCTCTAGCATACTCTCTCCCTCTGAGTGCAAGCAAACTGATTGCTTTGGCCGGGAGTCATGTTCAGGGGCTGATGGGTTTTTGGGGAACTTTGGGCATTTTGTCAGAAAACACCTGCATTTTTTTAGAGTGTCATGGGATAGCGAGAGAGGTTTTTATGGAGTGTGATGATTTAAACCGCTAGATATGCTGTGATGTAACATGGTGATAGTGAAGAGATGACATCTAGCTTTTTAGCTGGCTGTGTTTTTGCAATTCTTCAACTTTTCGTCATCTTTTCCCCTTATCCTTTGTGTGTTTCCAGATCAAAAAGACATCTGAGGCCACCCTGACCACCATCCAGGACATGACGACTATCGAAGACTACGACGTGTCCGAGTGTTTCCACCACAGCCGGTCCACGGAGTCGGTCAAATCCACCGTTTCTGAGACGTACCTCAGCAAGCCCAGCATCGCCAAGAGGAGGGCCAATCAGCAGGAGACCGAGCAGTTCTACTTCATGGTGAGTGGAAGAAGAAGAGAAGAAGATGATGGATACGAATAAACAAATACAAAGGACATTAAAGGTGTCTTTTCATTTCTGTATGAAAATAGAAATATAATTCTCTTTATAGACTCTCTTTGAAGTATTAGTAAGCTTTCTTTACTTAGATTTGTGAAAATGCCAGTTATTGTGGTCTGTTTAATATCTGCTACAAATGTCTGTAAAATGAATCGGAGAATATGAACTAAAGTTATCATCTGCTACTTTCAAAAGCTTAATCTTTCCACGTTGTCCTTAAAAGTCCTTTGCTCATGCACCAAGCCCCTTATTATCTTTGATTAGCTGGCAAAGGGGTAGCTTCCCAAAATATGTTCATCTAGTAAGTCTAAGTGCTATCTTGTTCCCGTCTGAAGATGGACATGCTCTGATAAAGGCTTTTTTTAAGACTCTCAGCGTGTCCTTTGCCCTTAGCTTTTCTTATCATAGATTGCTGTCTGAGGAGCTCTTGCTGGCACTCTGGGCCCGCTGTGTAATTACTCTCAATTCTCCACAGAAATTCCGGGAGTTTCTGGAGGGCAGTAATCTCATCTCCAAACTGCAGGCCAAACATGACCTGCTGAAGAGGACACTTGGTGAAGGTACAGTCAAAACCCTTTACTTATATACACTTCTCTTAAGGCCCAGACACAACAAGTACACATCATGGAACTTTTGCTTATAAGTTGGGTTTGAACACATCACAAAGACTAAAGGGAACACAAACATTCTGCTCAAACTGTCTTCATCCCAGATGGCAACCGTAGTCGTCCCTCAACAGAGTGTAATAGGAAAACATAGGGCTGTGCATCAACAAGTTGTTGTTATGATACAAACATTAAATGGAGCTTCGTTTGCCAACCATTTTTACACCCGCCCGTCATTCCTGATGGCAATGTTTTTGTGAAAATATCCAGGTATTGGAAGGAAAAGATTACATGAAGATGGACAATTTAACACGCACGCAACTCTGTGTCTCTTGACTTAAGTCATGCTTTAGCTAAACAGCCAGTCAGATTGATTTCTTTAAACGACATGGTCCCTAATAAATTCAACATGGAAGAATCGGTGAAAAAGCGGAACACACCGCCAAAACGAAGACGAAAGCAGCTCCCCGAGGGCCCGACATTCAGCGACAGACTTTCGCCTTGTTATCTCCCAGCGCATTGCCTGTTGGTTTATACAATATAATGGGTGTATGCTGTACAAGTCCTTTTCAATATCCAAATAGCCACAATCAATAATAATTCTTGATTAAATGTTGTCTTTATTTATTTTCTGCATTCTTAGTCAAGCAATTTCGGCCTTTTAATGTGGCAAATTTCCCATTGTTTGCCAGCTTTTCTCACTACTCTAAACTGCTCGATTGTAATCTGGGTTTGAGCCCGGCAAGCGAGAGCTGAGGGGGATTGTAAAGTTGTATTATCCGTCTTAGTGATTGATTAGCTCCTAACTTAATGGACTATCGTGCATTAGAGGGGCGGCAGTCATTACAAACGGTCTCTCCTCGGTCTACATTGGTGGAATTTCCTCGGGGCTTCAGCTAATCTGCCACTCAGAGAGTCAGTCAAGTCATTGTTCTACCCTGCAGTGCTGGTGGTCTCAGTCAAACTGTCCATCTAATGAGTGATGAAGCTGTGCTAACAAGGGGAGAAAAGCCCTCCTACTTCTCTCACAAACTCCTTAATCATATTGTTGTTAATGAGCTGTAGTACAGTATGAGTCACTCAGACTCACAGACAGGTCAGATCCTGTTCACAGGTACAGATGGCCGCGCAAAGGAAACCTCTTCTGTTCTCCAAAACCATTTGGAAGCTATTTTGTGCTTAATCTTTGCTAGTCCACACTTGTAGATCTGTGTATTTCCTGAATGATTGTAAACTGTGTGCCTGCTGGATGTTTTTACTGTAATGAAGCTAATGTGTCTCGAGCTATAAGCTGTTGTGTGTGTAGGTGTGTGTGTGTATGTGTTTTCTTTGTGCCATTCAAGAGGCCAGCGGTTGCGGACAGATGGCAGGCTTCAAATGCTTCACTGGCCGTATGCAGAGTGCACCGCAGGGACCTCAGAGACAGGTCCTGGCATGTCCACACATCTAACTTCCACTCACATCTCTTCTCTTTTCTCTCTCTTCACCCGCAGGCCACAGAGCCGACTACATGACCACAAGGTAAAGTACACACACGCTTCAGGACACCAGCGTATTTAAAACACACATCCAGTGCACTTTTCTTTCAGCAGTGACAGAGATATTTGTGCCGTGTTGCAGTTCATCATGGTGCGCACAGGTTGCCTCAGGACATTCTCATGGGAAGTCCTCTGTGACCATGACAGCAGAGGAGTCTAGTTAGAGAAAAAAAACCTGGAGAGCAGTGAGCAGATGTGCCGGCCTCCATGTTCTAAAGTCCAACCTGTTAATGTGTAAAAGGGTGACCTTACTTTCCTTTCCCTACCTGTAAAAAGAGTGGGAAGTGACAAAGTAGATAATGTTTAACCTAATAAATAAGGGAAATTATTTGCATTGAATTAAGAAAGAGTTGGTTCCAAAAAAAAAAAGTAATAGAAAATGTCTGTTGCATCTTTGTTTATCTTGCACATCTTTGAAAACCCATCATTTATGTTAAAAATCGGAGATCACTTATTGAATATACTCTATTATTGTAATTAGGTTGCTTTGCAATTTTCTATGGGTCACTCATGTGTTAATGACTAAGTTATGTAGCTTCTTTTTTTTCAATCAAAATTGAGGTTGTATTTTGCCTTTAGAGAATAACGAGGTCAAATCCTTCAATTGGAACCCTTTGTTCCTTCATATAAAACACAGCATTCAGAGACGCCACCTTGAGCTCTGTGATAGACATTTTTCACGATTTTCTAACATTTTATAGATAGAAAAATTAATTGAGAACATGTTTGGCAAATTGACAGAGCCAGCCATGTTCTTGGGTGGGGATAATCACCACTAGTTCTAAACAAATGTGAGTAAAAAAGTGATCCGGTGGTATGCCTTTTGCTACTATTGTATTCATATGGCAACGTTTTTATCTTTTGTTTGCATGATAATATATTTGAAATACCTTGAGGCTGTTCTAGCTGAATAATTCATTATGATTGAGCAGCAGAAGCGACCAAAGTCCCATACTTTTGAATCTTGGTCAGACTGGTCACAAGAGGCCAAATAGAATGAGATCACACACACACACACACACACACACACACACACACACACACACACACACACACACAACACACACACACACACCACACACACACACCACACACACACACACACACACACACACACACACACACACACACACACACACACACACACACAGAGGAAATCCCCTGCAGGGCCTGCCATGAGGAGGATGCTGACACATACGATGCTCAGCAGGTCGGATATTTCACTGGCCTGTGACAGGATTATAAAGAATAAGCAAATTCATGGCTTTCACTGGTGTCTGCAAATAACCTTTTTCACCTGCTTCACGTCTGAAGCCTCAACTTCAGTTTTTGGAGGATATTGAAGGATAGATGAACCACACTACAAAAAACTGCATTGTTTACTTTTTCTAACACACTCTTTGTATTCTAGACATCCCAATGGGCAGTTCAGAACCCACACCGGCACCCGGCGGGCTAGACCCCGCTCTGTTTTTAATGTTAGGTTATTTAATGGCAATTTGGAGTCATTTATCAAGGTACTGATTACCAATCTGCCTGCCCGACGTTGTTCCTCCTCCTATCTGTTTTCTGTCTTGCTCTGGCTCACTGGCCATTTTGGTGGGTTCCCCAAAAGCATTTGAGTTTACATGAATCTTTTACCAACAAAAACAAATAATTCTAGATTCTGGAAACCTTCCTCATGGGTCAGTGAGCTCTGGTGTCAGACCTGTGAGGTTGGCTCTGATAGATTAGGAGGGCTGCAGGAGGAGAGGAATGGCCGTCTGAGGGATAAATGTTTGTCTCAGTCAGCTCCCCTGACTCGCTGCTGACCTGGCATCACTGCGCTGCTCTGCCAGAGATATGAATTCCTCCAGAGGCAGAGCAGAGGCCAGTGGGAACAGCAGGGTGACTGGCAGTCAGGGAGCAGATGGCAGACTGATAAGGTGCCCTGCCTCCCTCCTCGGGCCTCTTCTCTGCCTCTCATAGGTGGCCGCGTCCGGTCCTGCCTGTCCACTTCTCATTGTTTCCTTATGGGTGTGATGCACAGAGGGGAATGAGGGTGCGCTCTTAGCAAAAGCTTTGGTGGGCAGCTGCTGTGGTCCTAATCTGGGTCTTGCTTTTCTCTCTCTTTCTGTTTCTCTGCGACAATTCTCTATAGCCGCGGACGAAGGAACTCACACGCTCGACATCAGGTACCTTGAAGCACCTTGGGGAGCCCATGCTGCTTTCCTGCGCTCATTTTCTTTATCTGTCCTGCTCTAACACAATTTGTATATCTTACTGTGTTTGTGTTTGTCTATATCTTGTATACATAACCTGACATCTGTGAGAAGACTGAGACAGACTGAATTGAAGCTTTTATCCTTAACAGGACACCACAATCGAAAATGTATAATTTCCACTTACTTGTAGTGTTTTTTGTCAATCTAGATTGTTTTTGATATCAGTTCAAACTGCTCACAACAAGGTCTGTGGATAACCTTGAGTAACCGGCTCATGATTTCTAAAAAGAGTCATTACTTTTGAGTTTTTCAAATGTGTTTTAGTTCCATTATAATGGAGAGAAGGCAGTAATTGGCTCTTCAAGCAAGTGGGAAATAGATAGGGGACCTTTTCCTCTAAACTGATTTTGCTGATCTTAGTTTAAATTGTGTTTCCCAGCATGAACCACATCCCATTGCAAAATCGGTATGAAATCGATGTGATATAAAGCAGTCATCCCCAGTCTCGCATACCCAAAGAGATAGTATTACATAATCCTGCTGCACCAGACTCTCTGCCCACTCTGACAATAGATGATTGTTGATTTTGGCATGGTCGCTGTGTCGGGACCGTGCGTTTACCCCTGAGGACTGTAAACAGATCCACTGTATCATTAAAAGCATGTACTGAGTTCCTGTCCAGCACGGAGCCGTGGGATCAGCTGGCACCACAGCAGAACAGTCAGCGTCTGAGCAGCGAGAGGAGAGTGTTTTCCCTGAAGGAGACCACGCTGCTCTTCTCATCTCACCACTCCTGCCCCGAGCTCCATACTGAGTGTGTGGCTCTTTAGATAAGCTCTCCTCAATTTAAACACAGGGTGCACTTGATTGCTAGAATAACAAAACACATAGTATATTTAGCAACACTAGAGGCCAGTTGAAATGTGTTAACAACAAGTTTGCTGTGGATTATATTTTTATGCTCAGTGAGTTATTATGGGAGACTGGGCATGAACAAATAGCTGGAAATGTCAACTCAATCTGTCTCAGTAAGATCACAAAATGGTGACCCTCCCTTTTTATATAAATACCGCCTTCACTTACTCTGGGTGTGCATGTTTTTAAATTCACATTAACCAGTTTCTTTCAGAGCCCGACAGATATTTCAGCAAATTGATATTATCTGTATATTTACTGATTAACGTTAAGCATTATCTTATATTTACTTTTCATGTTTATTTAAAAGAAGTACATGTAGAACTCTTTTTTTTAAATATTTACATTGATAAATCTACCAGATTGTATTTGATTTATTTATATTTTCTCAATTATTGATCTCGATAACATCTGAAACGCCGGTTGTATCTGTCGGGCTCTAGCTGTTGTACATGTTATACAAACAGCACATTATACATGATCTGACATTTGGGTGTTTTTGTTCACTTTGCCTACATAGGACTCTGGACAAGCTATCCCCCGCGTGGTTGAAAGCTGTATTCGCTGCATAAATTTGTATGGTGAGTTGGATGTTGTGTATAAACACGTTTGTCACGACAGATATGCAACCATAACTTGATGACAGTATTTATGGATTCTTCTCATAAACCAGCATCTTCATCTCCAAATCTGTCTGACTTTGGTTAAAGGGGACTTCAAGTGAATCCCAGGCATTAATTGTTTGGGTGTGTACATCGTTTTTCATGTTGGGGCTCCACTGTGTTCAGTCATGGGAAAATGCAGATTCCATCCTGTTTACAGCTGCGCTGCCTTTTTACACCCAGTTTCTCAAACGTACCATGAGACAAACAGACAGACAGCTGAGCCTTTCACAAGTGATGCAAAACAATTTTATTTTCAAGCCAAATTGGAAAAAAGATACACAAGAAAAATGGAGACTCTTTTAGCATTAAATATGTGACAGAAGTGAGATTTCATGGTTTACAGGCACTGCATCTTATATAGGGAACAAGTAATGACGTACACATTTAAAAGTGACAAACGGCCGACTAATCATGCTTCCTCCTCACCCTTGACCCTTCCCCTTATTAAGTCCTAATCCCTGCTGGAAGACACTTGAGTAAAGCTTGATTGCAGCCTCCCTGACTCATTAATTATCTTTAATTAGAAAAGTGAGGGGGCTTAACAGGGAGGATGTGCTTTTTAGGTCCAACTAAAGTAAGCTTTATTTGCTGAGTGAGGGTCTCTTTCTTTCTGTAAGTAGACTTATGATCACATTGAGTATCTGTCGTGTACACTCTGTCTTCCTTACCGTCTGCCCTTGTTTATTTCCTTTCAGGCCTTCAACATCAAGGAATATTTCGCGTATCTGGATCCCATCTGGAAGTCAATGACATCAAGAACTCGTTTGAAAGAGGTACGTTATAACAAATCATTACACAATCTATGGAACATATTAAGCCAGTGGGCTAATTGTAATTTAGACATATTTCACACCTCAGTCCTGTGCATTCTCAATAATTGAGGATATCATTTGTCTGTGTCTTAGGAAATGACCCCCTGGCGGACGATGATAACAATCATGACATCAACTCGGTGGCCGGCGTTCTCAAACTTTACTTCCGTGGTCTGGAGAACCCTCTTTTCCCCAAAGAGAGGTTCAATGATCTGCTGTCTTGCATCAGTAAGAAACAACACTTTTGCTTTGTATCAGACATGTCGTTTATTTTCTGAGTGCATCTCTTTGTAATGATCTTATCATAACAACTGTTATTATACTGTTTTTCAAGTGGGTCATTAATCTCACTTAGATGGAATCTGTCTTTCAAATTAACTTATAGTTTACAGCACATATGTGAAAAAAACCAACGAAAAAAGTTTTTCTCAAGCACAATTTTGAGTCCTTAACTTTAATTAAAATACACATATGTTTTATTCCCAAGATTGCCCATAAATTAGAGCATTTTTGATGGACTTAAATGTACACTTGTCACCAGCACATGGACCCCTTTTTAAAGTAAGAAACTATAAAAAAAACAGGTTTGAAATTAAACAAGTCGCACTTTTAATCATAACCGTAAACATAAAACTACAGTCATTTCCCACAATTTCCTATCTACGAGCTGAAGGAATGAAGAGTACATATTCTCTGTTTGTTTATATATATGTCTATTATTGTGAAGATTAATGCTTGCTTATATTCCTGGATATGTTTTACTTTGTAGTAATCTTATTAGCTAGCATCGTTAGCATAATTCCCACTGACTGCAGTATTTTGTCAGCAGAATGGCTCTGACTTCTCCTTCTCCTTGGCACTTTGTTTTATTACAACTCCGTGATATTTGGTCGAGTACTGAGAAGGAAATTATCCATCGTAAGTGGCATAAAGCTGGCCATGCTTCCAGATCGCAGTGGAATGTTAAATGTCTGCAGCACTGAGCGGCGTTTGAATCCAGAGCTGAATCTACTGTACACTGAGGTCAACAGAAGAATAGCCCCAGTCATTCTGCTGTGAGTCAGTTTAAAGACAAGTCAGCTCTTTGTGTGGCCTTTTCTCATCTTTTAAGACATTAGGGGGCGCTTTAGGCTCTGTTAAAGAACAATTGAACATGCATCGAGTCACATGGGCAAAGCGTGTGCTGCAATGCCTGGTGCAGCTTTGTGTAGACCATGTGAGTGTGTGCTTTTATCTTCATGCAGGCTTTAGTGTACTGGCAAGTGTGCAAAGTGTTTCCTGGGTGTATTTTTACACAGCGTGAGTGATGGGGATTCCCTGTTTACATTCCCCAGCTCAACATGCCAGTGATTGCAGTGTGGGCAGAACGCCCGGCAGGCTTCATATTAAAAATGATCTGCTTATTCCATGCGAAGAAGCTCCGACCATCTACAAGAACGTTTTTCCTTTTAACTGCTATCAGTTGACGTTTTTTTTCCCAACACAGCAGCTTACTGCAGCTACTAATATTTTTCCTTTGGGAATTAGCAGCAGGGATGTTTCACGTGGGTGTTCTCGCGTGTGTGTTTCCAGGTTGATGTATAAGTGTACACTGGAGTAGGTCTCTGAATAAGATCTTCTGAAGTGCTCAGGAGCCTTTCAGAATCCTAGTTAGGTATTCATGAAAAATGAAATACATCACAAGTAGCCCAGAAGCTCAAATCCCAGATGGCACAAAGTGGCTGGAGGGTGACAGCGCTATTTTTAGCACCCAGCAGAGCCCCAGCCCAGCCAAATAAAATAGGCTGCTTCAAGCGCCACAGCGGAACAAATGAGATAGTAATGAAAGACATAAAGGTTCACAGTCAACCCTGTTGATAAAGGGAAAGGATTGAACATGCTTTGTTTTTGTTTTTAAAGTTACAATTGTTCCTACAATAATTATGTTTTTAGAAAAAGTCACTTTGTTGGTAGGGTTAGTGAATAACAGAACTTGACGAAATGATTTAAAAAGAGATACTGTATTCCTCTAGAGCAGGAATGAAAACTGGGCGCCCCGTCGTCAGGTGCAAACAGAAAAGCACTTCCTCCTTCTTTTCCTCTTCCTCTTCCTTTTGGTGTCGGCAGTGAAACACAGGCTGAGATCAAGGTCATCAGAGTTGATACATTTCCTGTGGCCTCTACACACGCGCGCACACATACACATACACATTTTACATTGCACTTCAATTATAAATCCTTGTTGGTCATCCAGAGACGTACATTTATTCTGATAAGTAAAAGGCTCAGCTTCAATATTCTGTATTGTTTATATGCTCATATATTGCGTGGTAAAAATGAACATCTTCAGGTAGATGATGTGGTGCATTTGAATTGTAGCTGAGGCAAATGGATGGAAAAAGAGGGCTTTGTTCATTTGCTAATATTTTCTACTTATATAACTGTACTGACATTACTGACCTCTCTTTTGTTGCTTCTATAGGAATAGAGAGCCTGTACGAGAGGGCGCTGTACATCCGTAAGATCCTCCTGACCATTCCCAGATCAGTCCTCATCGTCATGCGCTACCTCTTCGCCTTCCTCAACCAGTAGGTTTATGGATACTTATCAGTAAAACCATCCTTTACTTCACTTCCTAAGGATTGCTTCCTCTTTATGAAATGTCATTTTAAAAAGCATTCACAGCTGTCGGTCATGATTCTATCTGAAATACTTTCCCCGGTGCTGTATCCTCTCAATCTGCCTTAACTTGGTCTCCTTGTCCCCATCTATCCTTTCCTACCCTCTTACATCCACCCTCCCCTCTTCAGCGTGTCCCAGTACAGTGATGAGAACATGATGGACCCGTACAACCTGGCAATATGTTTCGGCCCCACGCTAATGCCCACACCAGAAACCCAGGACCAGGTCTCCTGCCAGGCCCACGTCAACGAGATTGTCAAGACCATCATCATCCACAATGAGAACATCTTTCCTGATGCCAAAGAACTGGAGGGGCCCATCTATGAGAAGTGTATGGCTGGAGGAGACTATTGGTGAGCAATGATGCATTTAGCTGGTATTGCTATTGATTAAAGGCACTCTAGGAAACGTTAAACATGTTTTAATTGCTTTGTGTTCCACGTTTTTTTTTAACAGACTTGACTTTAATATTTAAACTGAGATCCTCCTCAACTTTCTCCGTTGCCTATAACAGCCTGTGGACTTACTTCTATGGAGGCCTGTGGCGGTTTTGCTACGGATATTCTAAGGATGAGAAGTTTAAACAGTGTGTAGCTAACTTAGCATAATACTGTATTAAGTTGGAGACGAAAGCTAATTCATCACCATGTGCTGGTCTGGCTGGTGAATTGGCTTGCTAGCCGTTTTCTACCTTACTTTATCCTAACAAGGCAGCAAATGCCAGGTGCGGTATAGCTAATGCGGTATAGCTAAGTTGCAGCTAGCTGGCTAACCTTAGCTTGCTTGCTCGCTAATGTTATCACTAGCAAAGTAGCATCTGAGTGGAACCAATAGTAGGTTAGCTTTCCAAATTACTTTACCAGCTAATGTGATCTATGATACTAATTTATGTAAAACGACAAAGGGTGTTGAATTTAGCTTTCTTAGCTTTCTGCGGCATAAGCTAAGTTAAGGATAACCAGCAAGCTGAAATGTGGCTAGGGTCCATATATATGGTATTGGTTGCTTTATAATGTTATATAAATGTGCAAAAGGTTAGCTAGTCAGTATTATGGAGCCATGGTTCAAATCAACTTTTGATGTCTGAGCTACAAAGCACACACTGTCACTACTAGGGCCTCTTGTCGCCACTGTATGAACGTCAAGTTGTAGGTTATCCAGGATTAAAAGAGAATGTGGAAAGCATTCTGATGAGATCAGTTCCTGCAGCTGCATAGATTTCCTAAACAACATGTAGAGTCAGACAGAGGCTGGTGATTTTCTTATTCCATTTCTTTCCGTGAATGGAACAAAGGCACGCAGCCAAACCTCCTTCATTAGGTGCTCACACATCAAGCAGGTATGCATCGGCTTACAACGCAGCAGCTGTGTCAGTAGTATGTCAGCGGAGCTAATTTGAGTAATTACACTCACCAATTATGTGTCTGTGGTTAAGGAACATGACATGGTCAAGCATGTTTCAGTGCTAACTTTAGGTCATGGACTATTTTGTAGGTAAGACGGGCTAAAACAATCAATCAATTTTCCCCAAAATGCAGGGGAAAAAATAATAATCTGGCTGGGAAATTATGACTTTTGGAATTGCAGCACATACTGGGGTCAAACAGAGCTGAGTCAAACCTGAGTCACTTTCCCAACGCTAAATCTGTAAGCAGTACTTTTCACTTATTTCTGTTTCCCCAGTTGTTATGCCCCATTTTACCACAGGCTGACAGGGATTTAGCTAGAGCTAATCACCCGTCTAAAGCACCTCCATGTTCCCCCCGCAACACACATGATGCCCTGGGGAGATTTGTTGTCTTGGCTGCCTCCCTTTCTTGTAGAAGAGGAGGTGGCTGGTGACATGTTAGCATGGGAGAAGACACTGAGCTAATCTGTGTGTGTGGCATTACCAGCCAGCTCTCACAGCACGATGCCAGAAGATCACCATTTAGAAAAAAGAGGCCCAACCACAGATAGAGGTTCTTTGCCTCTTCCTGTTGGTCTTAAAGGTCCCATGTCATGCTTTTCCAGTTATTACCCGTCCCCTTGTGTGTTATGAAGGTTTTTCTGCATGTAAACGGTCTGCAGAGTCACAAACCCTCAAAGTACACCCTGTAGCGAGTAAAACTCTAACACAGAAAAGTGTTATGGAATTATGATCAGTAGAAATGGCCATGACATGGGACCTTTAATACTTGTCTTACCCTGTCATCTTCACTGAAATTAGATTTGATCGTTGGGATTCAAACAAAGTCCTATGTTAAAAGTGAATTAGAAGATATGGTGTCTTCAAACAACCTTCAGGCTCTGTGTCTGTTTTGAAACTGTCCCTTAATCCCTGCGCTGCCTTGGCTGTGACTCTGACCATTTGCATGTTGTCCCCCCCCACAGTGAAAGCCCCTACAGCGAGCACGGAGCCCTGGAGGAAGTGGAAAATGAGGGAGGGACAGAAACACACACCAGCGAGGACGGTGAGTAACAAACATATCTGTATGAATGTCATACAACAACACACTACTTCAATATGTATGTAATGATGTCATTTTGCACCATTGTTTTCCATCCGTATTGTGATCAGTATCATTTATGAACATCACATGAATTAAACTTCATTATCACGCCTGAACACTTACTCAATCATAGAATGAATCTGTATAAACTCTCCCCTGTCCTTGGTCTTGGGAGGGTTGAATCCAGCAGCTAATCCTGCCTTTCAGTCGCTGTATCCTTGAAGGGCCGGGGAACTGGGCTCACAGTGATGGACAGCCATTCATATTCTAATGATTCTGCTTCTCCCTCGAGGCCTTGGGACACTTCCACATCCCCCTATTCAAATCCAGGGTGGTCAACACTAACTGGACCCCTTTTGGGAGAGAAGCTTTGTTTTCTTAGGGTCACATTCTTGGGTTAAAAAGGTCAACTACCTTGGTTTCCGTAAAATAATGGAAAATGTATGGAGTGTGTGTCAAAAGTTCCAGGTTTAAAATAACGTTCCAAATTATAAACGTCTGTGTTTTCTCTACATTTAACTACATTTCCATGTCCAAGAGAAATATGATGAAAAAACAAACTCACAAAAGACTTAGACATGTCTAGACTCTTAGACATGGTGGGATACTGTGCATTTATGTAATCTTACATGTTTTCTATTCGTTTGATTGAAATAATTAGAAATAGTTCGATCTGAATCAAATAATGAGTGAGTTGGTTGAAACCAAAATATCAACCGGGATCATTCACGGCTGTGCAAAAGCAGAAAAACACAATAAAGCTGCAGCTATGACAAGAGAGCCCAAGCTTCATATCTTAGAAGCAGACTTCCCCTAGACCTGTTTCCATGGTAACAAGTGCCCAAATCCTGTCTCCTTTGACACCCTGAGATGATCTTTAGGGGCTCCCTTGTCACCACACGTCATCAGGCTCCATTGACGTAGTATGAAAATCTGGTTGATCTGATCTCACTACATCAGCTGTTCATCACTGCTTCCAAATGAAAGTCATCAACTGGATGTCCTTTATAAAAAGGGACATCTGATTAGAGGAAACTTCTAAAGATTCCCACAGCAAAACACAGATGGCAGCTATCAACTCTTTGAGTAATTAATAGAGGATTATGTTTTCCAGAAATCCCTTGCTACCATGGTTTTGTTCCAAAAGCTTCTCTGAGCGGACGGGGAGGATGTCCTCACTGAATCCAGTCCCTCCCTGCGGAGTCTTGAACTGTGGTCAAGTTATTGTCGTCAGTTATTTTTAAATCCCCATGACCTCATTTGGATTCAGACACACAAGGAAACCACTTTTCCTGTTTGCTTACCAGCACTTGACACAGAAATAGTCTCTTCTCAAGGCTCAAAATGTGTTTGCCCTCTTTGCCCTTAAAGTAAGTGGACACAAGACGGACAGGCGGAGGCATTAAAGTATCCCTCTCTGGCAAAATGATTTACAACGAGAATGCAACGAAGTAAATGCTAAGATCAATGATTGTTATATCATAGAGGTAAATGTGGATGATATAGATTGTGTCAGAATAGAGCTTAGCCTTAGTATATGCAACTCACGTATTACAATTACAGGCCTTTTATTTACCATGAACGACTGTACAGACATGTATGGTTCCCAGAGGATTAAACCTACAGACTTTAATCATGTTCTAATTTGTTCCTTAATCGCCACCATATGGTCAAAGTTTTCGTGTGATATTTTGCACATGATAAAGATTATGTGAGGTCAGTTGCATTATAAAACGTGGGCCAGTTTTCGCCCCTCATTTAATACCATTACAGTACAGACCTTTTAATTTGCATGGTCCCGAAGGTTTGGTACCTACTTAATTATGTGGTCGCTTGACTTTTACTTCAAGCGCTACCATGAGGTCAACATTTTTACTTCTAGTTATTTGGCCTACATTCATGTCCCTCTTTAGATTGACTGTAACAACGTTGGTTATTCTTTTCATTTCACATAGCAACATAATCTTGCCAATACTTACATTTCATAACCAAATAATACCTAAAGAAAATGATGACCTTCCATCAACCTCAGCTGCACCTAACCGCGCTTACTGTCAAATGTAAGCATGCTAACCTGCTAAACTATGTATGGATGAACATTATACCTGCTCAACATCAGCATGCTGTCATTGTGCCTCAGCATATTTCTGCTCGGGGTTGTCCCACATGACAGTCTCATGGACCGCTGCTGTCACGCCTGGAGATTAACTGCCAGTTTCAGAGTGGCAATTCACGCACAGCATCAATACATTGATGTTCTATCTGCTGGTAAATCCGCAACAAGGTCAGAGGTGAATTATCCAGGACATTGATTAGTTATCACTTTGCAGGAGTGTAGCATGACGTCCTTGTTGTCAAGTGCTCCAGGCAGGCATGCAGTTATTGTGAAAGGTCAGTGTTCTTCATTGTAGAGGAAAGGTCATCTTTTTTCACCATAAAGAGCCACATCTAAAGCAATTTCATCTCTTCATGTCCAGCATGAAGGCTCCTGCTCTCTTTGTAGCTGCAAACACCATGGATGAATATGTGTCTTCAGGGAAAAGGGTGGATAGGAGAGAAAGAGGAAGAGAAATGGTTTTAAACCCTCTCCTGTATTGAGTTTGAACATATCTTAAAACAGGCTTCTGCTCCCCTATATCTATGTAGGAAAAAGTAGAGCAACATTCACCCTGACTCTGCTCCACTGGCTTGTGTAAGACATCTGACAGTTTGTATCTCTTAAACCACAGGCCTCCAGCTCACACAGTCGCAGTGTGTGTCTCTTTGTGTGTAACTTGGATGTTGTATCTAAAGCGATTCTCAGTTATTATAACACAACATGAAAGCGCAAATCCACCAAGATTTCAGTTTATAGCCGTCAGTGTTCAGCAGCAGCCACGTCACTGCAGTGTTGGTGTGTGTGTGTGTGTGTGTTTTCCTTGGAAAACATTTGCAGACCGGAACAGAATGGATGGATTGGTTGAAGTTAGGGAAAGACATGGAGAAAAAAGCAAGGAAGAGAAATCCCTTGCACCAAAAAGGGCCCCGTCACTTTATTAACAGCCTCGTCCGCTGCAGTGCAGCCAAATTAATTCTGACAGTAAATTCCTGCTTGTCACATTTTATTGAATTCACGTCACATCCACCCTGTCAATCCTTTCAACCAAATGAAGCTAAGAAGGTGGCAAGTTAAAGATTGGAAGATGAATAAATAATAGAAGTAGATCAGGTTGAATCTGACACCAGGAGAAATAAGGAAACCTCCGTCTGTATTTCCTCTCTCTCGCGGTCTCTCTGGGAATCACTTCCAGTTCCTGTGAAAGATATACCATGATGGCTTTTCACAGCCGATACAAGCTTCATCCATTTAGCCGGTGTATAAAGAGAGCGGCTGTTAGTTGAGGCTGAGGTCTGTTCAGGGGGTCCTTCTGACTTAAAGTGAGATAGGAGGAGGGCAGAGGTAGGAGTGAGGGAGAAATAAAAAGCTATTTTTAGACCGGTGTTGCTGTAGAGCTTGCATATGGGCTCAGAGACGTGTTCCTTTTTGATAAGGAGTCGACTGTGGCTGTAGAAATCACAGATGTTGACATGAATATAAGAAAGGGATTTAATAAACTATGGACTTGGAGAGAATAATTACTGCCAATAAATAATAATTGTATCTGCTCTATCCATCACTGACAATACTCTTTTGTTTGTATAGTTATCACACAAATGGAAATTCAGATTGCTTTAAAAGGAAATGGAAAGACATACATCAGACATTAAGATTCCATTGAAAAGACAACACAAACAGAAGCCGTAAATTCAAATAAAAAGTCAAAGGAATTGCATTTAAAAGAGAATATAAACATAAAGCATAAGACAGCAAAATATACATGCAGATAAAAAAAAGAGTTATGAAGCAAACAATAATAATACTACCTTCTGTAGCTTCTAGCCTAGTTTTCTTCGTGTTAATTTGCCATGTCACTGATCCAGGGCTCTACTGGTACAGTTATTGAGTCGGTGTCAGCCCAGCCTAATGATCCATTCAGTGACTGACATGCCCCTGAGTCATATAGATCTCCTCTCACAAGCTCCTATAAATATCCTACTAAAGATCCTCAGGGCCTACCGTTGTAGAGCAGGGTTACTAATGACAAATACTAATATATCCAACTGGCTCCTCATGCACAAACATGCCGGTTTTAGACGTGACTCTCCTGCAATCAAGCCAACAAGTCAACATTTTTGATCTCATACGATATGACCTGTGTCAATCATTAAAAATGTCTGCACATGCGATAATAGCCGACTCTACTCGATGTTTTTGCCCTGTCTGACATACCTGACCTGTGTAATCCTCTCTCTCCGTTGGCAGAGGGTGAGCCCATTGAAGCCATCGCCAAGTTTGACTACGTCGGGCGCTCTTCCCGAGAGTTGTCTTTCAAGAAGGGCGCCTCCCTGCTGCTGTATCAGCGGGCGTCAGAAGACTGGTGGGAGGGGCGGCACAACGGCATCGATGGCCTGGTGCCACACCAGTACATCGTGGTCCAAGACATGTGAGTGTTTTCATCGAGCGTCATTTAAGATGTGAAAATCAATGTATCCTATCAGCATCAAGCTCATGAGAGAAAGCCATTGTACTATCTTTGGTTCTTTTTTTCATCTAGCACCAACATCAAGATAAAGATGTATTTTTTTCTTTATAACTATTATATTCCGCTAACTTGCACATGCTTAACATGGTTAACAATACTCCTGCAAAAAATCTGCCATGTCACTTTGAGCATGTTAGCATGCTGATATTAGCATTTAGCTCAAAGTAAACCTTTGCTTCAGCCTCACAGACTCAACACTCTAAAGGGCCGTCCACACCAAGAATGAGACCAGAAGGATAAATATACACGTCAACAATGTTAGCATCCACCCTGATGAACAATACCCTACTGTAAACTGTGGCCTCACACACAAGCCACACCTGTTACTGCTGTACGCTGCCAAGAGAAAGAAAGTAAGATTAGGATATAAATCATTTAAAAGTGAGTCACTTATAATTACAGTAAGTACACTTATTTGCCTTACCTTCGTTTTGGGATGGCTGTCACTGTTTGTCTTTCATTAAATTGTTTTTTTAAAGCAATCCCAGCAATATAGTTTGTCTTTAGAGTTGTGGCGTGGACTCTGCAATCCACTTGAGTTAAAACGATTATTATAACAATATATTTGACGTTATCATTCTTTGTGAAGAGGGTCTTTTGTCATCACATCATTAAAAAAAATCCTACAGGTGGTACACGGAAGAAACATTCCCCCCCTTACTCCAATCAGAGCCTTAGATATGCTTTAAGGAACAGCTCTCCCTGATGAGATCTCTGATGGTTAAACAACACACTTGTCCTTATTGATTTACCTCTATAGGAGGTTATGGGCCATCGGCTCATGCATCAAGGACCTTAAGACATGTTTGTCCTGAACGCTGCTGTCTCTTTGGAGCTTTCTCCACCTCTAGGGTGCTCAACCAGCCCTTCAGTCATTCTCAGCTATAACGAGCATACAGCGGTTTGGACAGTTTGTGCCTAATGGACTGGATTCACTGTCTCGTTAGGACCTGAACAAAATCACTCCAATCACTTAGTAGCTGGCCGACTAAACGGCCATTTAGAATTCCATCCCCTTCCCTTCCTCTTCTGTTCCTTCCCCTGCCGTCAATGTGCCTCTATCAATAATTCACCATGAGGGGCACTGCTGGTGGGGTGTCCTCTTAGTTAATGAAAGGGGGGGGGGGGGGATTTACAGCTGTACAGGTTGTGCCCCTGCGTAGAAACATCCTGCTCTCTACTTAAACAGAGCAGGCAGAGCAGTGTGGGAGCACACAGGGTTGTGATCTTCACTTGTCCAATAAAAGAGCCCAGAATAAAACATCTGAGAGACCCACTCCAGCACAGGAAGTCTCGCAGAAACTTTCTCGAAATGTTGTTTACGGCTGGATAGGTGCTCGTCCTGTGCTTTCATGCGGATACACTCAATAAGTAAGTGTGTTTTTATGTCGGATAGTACACATCATCAGAGGCTCTGATTGCTGCCACCTGACAGGAACCTGCATCTGCTCACACACCTCACTGAAACCCACTCAGCTGGCTTGTGTGTGGGCATCTGCGTGTCACAGTATATCACCGGAATATGACTCATCTGACTCTGGGGACCTTGAGGCTGGGGGCGGAAGGGAGACATGCTGACTCACAGAAAACTGATATCAAATACTGTCATCTAAGAACCATGCAAATATGAAAGATGGACTGGTTTGCTGATTTAGTCTTTTTTAGTATTTTTTTCGTCTTTTCTGTCACTTGCTCTTTCCATGTCTCAATGTCACTCTGTGTCCCTGTGCTCAGAGATGACAGTTTCTCAGACACTCTGAGTCAGAAGGCTGACAGCGAGGCCAGCAGCGGCCACGCCGGAGAGGAGAAATGCTCGGGGAAAGACTTGGGCTCGCCCTCTGACATCAGGATCTCTGAGGCCTATATCACCAGGTTGGTTTCCCACGGCTCTATAGCTGCACTGTTGGACTGCAATATCTCATTAACCATTACTGTAAGGGACCAAAATGAAAAATATGGCATTTTCTGAATATTTTCATTATCTTTACAATTCACAAGAACTGAACATTTTCCATTTTGAACTGATGATGTGTTTTGAAAAAGATGATTCTTATGTGTATTGTGCATAAGAATTGACAGTACCTAACAAAAAAAAGCAAATATGTTTACCAAAGTGCTTAGAATAACTATGCAAATATAGAGATGGGTATTTAGGATATCCAACTGCATTCAACAATGCATAAGGGTTATTTGATTCTTTCGACAATATCCATATTGTCAAGGTATCCCACCGTGTAAAATGTAAAAACAGCACACATTTCTGTATCAGCTTTATCTAATTAAAGGCAACCCAATCCAATAACAACTGACAGTCCTGCTGCCTGTCTGAGTGGGCTTTAGTTTTGTGTCACCTAAAACGGCCAAAGGTTTAAAGGCTTTATTTTCATATGCACAATAGCTACAGGGTAGTTTAAAAAAAAAATACAAATCTCAAGTCCCAGGCTACTACAACAATGCAACATACTACATGTAAGACATAAAAAACAAATCAGAAAAAATGATGTAGAAATAGCTTTAGGTGTCAATACCAACTCCAGACTCTTAAAAAGCACGTATATTGGTAAAAAGAATGTTCTTTTCAATCATTTCCCTTATTGCAATTCAACAGCATACATCTGATGTGCCTGTTAAATGACTAAGCACCCAATCCTCAGTGAAACACATGCTGCCTCCTCCTGTCATCCCATATCTCCAGCTCACCCTTTCAGCCACTGTCACTAGAGGACTTCTCTTGCTGTGTTTTATCAAAGTATTATGAAATAGATGAATTATTAAATCCCAGCTGGTATGAGCTAGTCACACTGGAACATACTGTATTTGCACAGGGAGGCATGGCACACACATATCCAGTCACACCTCAGACTTTTTGGCAGCGGGTGCTGGGGGCGAGCCAGAGTTTTGTCTCCCTTCTTCATCGCTGCGTTTCTGCCGGTGGAGTAGGCGACCTTGAAGCGTGTCTGCTACCGGCCCTTGCCAAATACAAATGCTGTTTTATTCAGAGCCATACTCCCACCCTGCACTTCACTGTTGAAATGTTGATGATTCATACTAGAAGCAGAATTTACACCACTGCAGGAATGTGTGAGCTTCTCAATGAACCGTCTTTTTTCACATGAGCCTTAATGAAGCCGTCTACCTGTCAACAGCTCCCAGGTGACTTCCACCCTCATCTGCATCTGCATCTCCACCCCCCCCCTGCCCGACTGCTCTTCTATTCAAACAATCCTCAAATGTGCTGAATCATTTAGATCCTGAGCTTTATTTAGATATTTTCCACTCGTAGCATTCTCACCAGACAGGAGGTCTCGTAGCGTTGGCATCAGCGAGTGTCAGTAAACAATGCAGTTAAGTTAGTGACTGTTATAGTGGAGGGGATGCCTTATTATTTGATTATAAACCACCTACTACAGTTGATCCTTTTGTTCATTTTCATCAAAAGGAAACTCCCAGAATCCCTTGTGATATACATTATTATCAGGCATAGACCAATAGCCAAAGGGTGATCTGTCAGTGTGTTTACAGAGTAGGTGGCAGGGCCTGTTGTTGGACACACAGGTGTTTTGTATGCAGACTGCCCCCCCTGCAGGCTGTCAGTGGTTCCTACAGTTGTTTACCAATCCAGATTTCTCACTGCAGTCAGAAAACAATTTTTTTTTTCTGTTGCCAGGCACACCAGCCACCAATGAGTCTTTATTTTCCACTGTCTAACCTATCATCAGTAGCTGTTAGTATCAGAATACCTTTATTCATCCCACAGAGGGGACATATACATTGTTACAGCAGAAAAGAACCACAGACAGCTTAATGTTACCTAAGAAGCATGCATAAAGAAATATTAAAGATAACAAAAACATATTATAGTATATATATATATATATATATACACAATTTACAAAAAACACATCCTGTAACAGTTCTGAGGATTTAGCCGCCAGGTATATATTGCAGTTATTAACGGCATATATATATCGCACATATTGCACATAGTTTGTGGTTAACAACAAGGAGTGTTATAGTCTGTGTTGTTGTCTGTGTGGGGGTCTACTAGGGGCCGTGGTGGTTATATAGTCAAAGTACCGTCAAGAAGTATATTGTGTGCCCATTTATAAATATTTAGTGTGTTTTGCAAAGCAGGTACATATTTTCAGATTCTTACATAAGAACCTTCTGAGACTTTGTGGTTGATATAGATTTGTAGTTTTCTAAGAGGAAATGTTGGGATAACAGTGGCTTTGCTTGAAGAGCTGCAGTTCCATTCCCTGAGCTCCTTCATATCCGTACTCATTACAGCTTTTAGTTCAGCGCGGGGATGAAGCTGTCTGTAAGACTTAATGATAATGGCTGTGCGGGCGTTCATTAGACAGACGTAAACTCCCAAATGAAGCCATTTGCAGCAAAGTGATTAAAGGATAAGTCATTCACTGCTTTTTCACCAAAAACAATAATGCCTTATTAAAATAGTTAATCTGCCGTGTATCATCTTTGAAATGTTATTTCTTTATTGTATCAAGTTGTTGCCATGGCAGAAATTATTATTCTAAAAGAAAAAGGAGAATCATGACATGATTATCAGGTAACTATATGATTTCAATCATTTAGCTTTTAGACTGAAGTGATAATATCTGCTTCTATCAATCAATACATCTCCTGTATCTGTAGCTACTGTAGAGCTGTTAGTCATAAATATGAGAGAGAAACTATTAGAGCCATACTGACAACATTGTGCTGTTCTATTGGCCTTCTATGGTGCATAAGCTTCAGGAGAGACATGTTCCTGTAGAGCAGGGGTAGCCAACACGGTGCCCGCGGGCACTTAGTCGCCCGCAGGGGCAACGTGAGTCGCCCGCGGGGCGTGTTCTAAAAATAGCTCGCCAAGCAAATCCAAAATGTATAAAATACACAAAACAAAAAAGGAAATGTAAATAAAAGAATCTACCCTATGCATAAACGAAACCTAAATCATAGCGAACTCTATCTACTTACTACAACTCTATATCTATCTAACACCCCTCCTCCCCCCACCCCCACAATGAATATCGACCAATCACGTTCTTGCTTGATTTGCGGGACCAGCGTTGCAGTCTGGAAGAAAAGCAAATGTGGAGTGGCAGCTCACCGCTGATTTTCCTTCTGGCAGAATCTACACAACACATCAGCCCCATTGAACAGCCTATCATGCCAGCCTATACAACACATGAGGGGCAGAGTTTTACTCTGTGTGTTGCAACTTGCATATATATTTATTGCACTTGACGCACACACACGCATGACGTAATTTCCACCTGGGAGAGGGGGGAAATGTCCCCCGCTCTTTTCGAAATCCCGTTTGTGTCCCCCCACTTTACAAATATGTTTATTATAATTTGTTAACGCAAGCCGTCATCGACACGGAGGAGCACACAGGCTGTGTGTGTGTGTGTGTGTGTGTGTGTGTGTGTGTGTGTGTGTGTGTGTGTGTGTGTGTGTGTGTGTGTGTGTGTGTGTGTGTGTGTGTGTGTGTGTGTGTGTGTGTGTGTGTGTGTGTGTGTGTGTGTGTGTGTGTGTGTGTGTGTGTGTGTGTGTGTGTGTGTGTGTGTGTGTGTGTGTGTGAGCACCTTTATCTATTTAATATAGATAAAGTAAGATATCATTCCAATGTGTATAGGAAAAAAAAACAGTTTGAAAGGGGAGTGATTAGTAAAATAAGCATAAATAAAATAAGCTAAGATAAGAATAAACCAGTTGAAATTATTTGTTATTGGTTGTGATCATATTCTAAAGATGTTTGGATTATTGAAAAGTATACAGCTCCCTTTCATCGGAGTGTTGAGAGCTGTATCCATCAATTCATGTTGTGCTCAAAGTGCTCCATATTGATGCATTTCACTTCAACATTTAAAAATAATCTTCCCGGGGGTGCATGCCCCCGGACCCCCCTAGAGGAGGTGAGGCCCGTCCACCCCCAAATAAAGCAGGTTAAAATAATTAAATTGCATACATGTTCTTTTAGTAAACACTGAAAACGGGTCCCACAGACCCAAACAGCACACAAAGGTTAAAGGTAAGCATATCATGATGTTAAAATGTGCTAAATATATACACTGCAAAAAACAAAAACAACAAAAGGGGTAAAAGTAGCCCCCGACTTGTTTTATTTTTTTAAAGTAGCCCTCACCCTAAAAAAGGTTGGTGACCCCTGCTGTAGAGAAACATAGCTAAGCAAGCATGAGTATGAAGCAGTGAGTGTCTGATGCCTTCATGTTCAGCCTGTTTTGGAGCTCTGAAAAACCTCTGGCCTCCTCCTCTGGCTGCGAGCCAGCTCCGCTCTACCTGATCTGTAAATAAGCTTCAAGCCCTGACATCACCACTGATGACTCTTTGTTTTTCCAAATGACAAGGATTCATTTCTACATATTGTGCTAAAGTTTGGAGGATTTTCATGTCTGAAGGATTACTGTAGTTTCAAAATGAGAGCCAAATGCATCCCTTAAATAATGAAAGCCTTATATTTGTGTTAGTCCAAAAACTAGAGTGCACAGTTCTTCCCCAAGGCCAATGTGCCTCTTGGATAATTGTATTTCTTAAGTACTTTTTACAACTTGTTGTGTGGTTTTGAGCTTCAAGTCGTAGTGTTGTAACAACATGAATTGTTTAAAGAAGGTGTTTTTTTTGTATTGCTGTTTTCTGTTTCACACGTTTTCTTTCACACTTTCACGTATAGATTTCAAAAAAGAAATTGACTCCAATATAAGGCAGCACATTTGCCCTTTCTCACAATGTTACACAGATGGACAAAATGTTCCAAGAACACAACCTCCTTGGCAGAAAAAAAAGGTTTAACTCTAGGTTTAATATCTAGCTATATGCCATTATGGGATAAAATGTTAAAAGACAAAAACTGTATGGAATAAATAAATAATTAGCTTTGTTGTTTCCGCTCTGTCCCACCCGTCTATTCCAGCCGGCACAAGAAAAGATCAGAACCCCCCTCTCGGAGGCCCCCTGCCCGCCCCAATGATGTCATGGTGCACCCCTCCCAGCACGGTCACGGAGGACATGGAGGTCACGGAGGACATGGAGGGACCCCTGAGATGGGCTCCCCAGTTCTGGGCCACTTCAGCCCGCGGGACATGCTGCGGACTCGGTCCCACCTCCCCATGGACAGCCCGGAGCGCCGCCGCCGCACCGGGCACGGCAGCCTGACCAACATCAGCCGCCACGAGTCTCTGAAGAAGATGGAGAGCCCCCCGATCCGCCGCTCCACCTCGTCGGGCCAGTACAAGGCCTTCGGTGACCCCCACCACCTCCACCACCACGGTGGCAAGCCCCTGGACCCGGAGACCATCGCACAGGTCAGCGCGGGACGAGCAGCGACCCGACCGCAGCTCCCTCCACCATCAAAGCCCTGCCCCGCCCTGTAAACACTTAGTCAGTCTTCTGCTTCCTCTGGCTGCTAGTGTTCGTGTGCTAACTACACGCTAAAGGCTAGCTGCACAGGCACACAGCAGGGAGCATAGCTGTACACTGGGACTCGTAGTATCACATCTACTATAGGCATAGGTTATAGGCACACAAAAACACAATATCACAAAATATATATTAAAGGTCACCTATAATGCAAAATCCACTTTTCCTGTCTTTTATACATCAACATGTGTCCTCTCTGTGTAAAGAGATTCTGAAAGTTTCAGGAAAAAAGATTTGCTCACTTTTTATCCTGATCCATTTATATAAAAACCTGTCTGAAAATGAGCTGATCAGATTTTGGCCACTTTATGTCATAACGATTTTTTGGCTTGTGTAACCATTAGCCAATAACCAACCAAGGTAACCCCTGCCCACCTTATCACCTGAATCTCCTCCTAGAGCACAATTTTTTTTAACCAAATATCTCTGAGGGGCGTGGGGAGGGGCTCCTTATTTTCATCTAAAGTAACAGACAGAGAATCAGCACTTTTGAAACAGGGATGAAACAGAGGGGATTATGGGATGCTACAATGCATGATCTGTTTGGTATTTCAAGCCAAACGCTTCAGAGACATGTTTTGTATATATCTGAGACCTATAATAAGGTAATGAAAAAAAGTATCATAGGGGACCTTTAATACAAACATTTCTACAGATTGGAAGACTGTAGATGTAATTTTTTGTCACATACGTAATATAATAGTGAATCCATGAATTACATTTGTACAGAGCATGAATTAGAGGTCACTTTGCTGGGCTGTCTGTCTGCGTACTGCGAGCATGCTCAGATAATCTGTGTTCTCTGCATCTCCTTCACTGTTTAAAGTCATTAGCATGTAGAGCGAGAGGTGCTGTGCTGAGTCTCTGCCAACTCTCCGCATGTATAATGCATGCTTTCTTGAAAATCTGTCACTGTGGTCCTCTGTTAACATCGCTTTTTATGTTCCCTACCCTCTCCAACTTTCAAGTCTTGGCAGTTTTCTCTCCTTTTTACCCCCCACTTGCCTGTGTGCTGCTCATCTCCCTCACAGTCTCTTCTCCCCCCCTAAACCCCCTCTCTCTCTCTCCCCCACAGGACATAGAGGAGACGATGAACACCGCCCTGAATGAGCTGCGCGAGCTGGAGAGACAGAGCTCGGCCAAGCACGCCCCCGACGTGGTGCTGGACACCCTGGAGCAGCGGCAGACCTCCGGGGGCAGCGGGGGGGGGTCCCACGCCGGGCAGCTCCAGCGAGTCCCTCAGCCCCATCCACGGCGTCACGCTGAGGTCCACCGCCAACACGGAGCCGCCCATCCGCCGCAGCACCAGCTCCTCCAGCGACACCATGAGCACCTTCAAGCCCCTGGTGGCGCCCCGCATGGGGGTACAACTCAAACCCCCCGCCCTGAGGCCCAAGCCCATGGTCCTGCCCAAGACCAGCCAGGCCTCGCCGCCTCCACCCACGTCTGCTCAGGACCCTTTGGACAAGTCCTGCACCATGTGACCTCCGAGGCGGAAATGTAAAGCAAATACTCTCGAATTCCAGGAGCTGCAAAATGCTACCAATGTCTTCATCAATTTACAGAATATAATATCTGAGAACGTGTAAATTACCTGGACAGGAAAATACATTTGAAAGCATCATAAAGAGGACAGGAGTATGCTAACAGATCTCCGGTTATGTGTTAATATGCTTAGGTTAATATTATCTAACTCTTTTTTTTTCTGTTTTGACATTCAAACAACAAATCACAGAGGCTTCCTTCATGATTTTAGACAAATATACACAAGGTAGTTTAGTTTACAGATATTCATGAACTTTGAACACGCCGCATGTAGCTCCTGTTTACCACTGAACCTGAAGCGGTGGCGTCTCACTCCAGATTATGATTTTTTTTAACTTTTTGCTCTCCTATAGCAGAGCCAGTGAAGGTGTTTTAAACTGGTTGAAAGGCCTTACTAACTGATTCCACACATATTATTAAGTTGCTGTGACTACCTGGAGAGAAAGGGTGTGAAGGTTGGACTGATTGAAACCCTTAACGGTACTTTGTTAATAGATGATAGTACTGATAGCAGCGTGTTTTCTTCACTAGCGTACACACTTACTTTTGCCAAGGCATACCATCTCCTGTGTTTCAGAAACTTCACCTCCGTGTGGGATTCACTTACATTTATTTTTGAACATATTGCCTGGAAGGAGATATGACTATTGGATTAAACCACTACTTCACTATGTTTGATGCATTTTTTAATTCAGGCATACAATAAGCCTAATAATAAATTAAGCCTTTGCATCTGTATAACAAAAGTGTGAAAAACGATGACAAATGATCTCCTTTAGAGTATACTAAACAAAGCTATATGTGGAACACGTCATAGCTTCTTTTACGCCTTGCTTGGCTTTACCTACCCAAAGATATGACCGTACACAGCATGGATGTTGTCCCTCCTTGTATGATGTAGCCGTTCTTCATAGCCCCGTGTGTATAGACCATGTATAGACTAATGGCGACGCCCTGCGGGAGCACTGCCGGTAGCCATGGACCTGATGACTGTTAGCGTGAAAGCCAGATGCTTGTCCTGAAACAGAAGCTAACTGTTAGCTAACTGCTAACTTGTGTCTGCTTTATGTTCAGGTGAGACTGTCAATCTTTTTTTTTTTGTATTGTCCTCCTTTATTTTCTGCATTTGTGGATGATGACACCTCTAAATGCTTGACATGTGGCAGAAAACAGGATCAATGATGAACAACCAGTGTGTGTGTGTAGAGTTCAATTCAAATGCAGTAGCCCCATAAAGCTGTCTGTGCCAGAGCGGCAACTGTGTGACTGCGACCCTGATGTCTTTTGTTTTTAATAACCTCAGTACTGTAGAGAAAAAACAAACTGGGTGGATGTCCTCCTGGGATTGTTTGTCTAGCTGCGCATAATAACACCCACAACACTTTCTAATAGCAGAATTACACTATTTTTGACTTGTGTGTATAATAATCAAAAAGATGATTCATTTCTGATTTACTAACTTTCATTATTTTTGTGACCATTTTTGTTTCTGGGTAGAAACGACTTAGAACAAATGATGTAGAATAAATATCCAGGGATACAGTATGAAGCCAGTTGTAAAAATAAATGAAGTGCTTTTGTCACTATGTTGTTATCAACAGTAGGACTCAGTGATGCCCTGTGTAGGCTTTAAGCTGTAGTATGTACATCTGTAGTATGTACTTGTGAAAGTGCCTTTAAAAATGTTTTAGAGGAACTTCAGACATTCTGTTAAATGTTCATGTCGACGCAGAAGAAAACACATGAATTAGTAACAATGCCATTTTCTCACAGCAGTTGTATGACAGAGTTAATCATAAATAAACAGCTTACCCATTGTGACATTGCACTTTTATGTATATAACTGTATATATGGCATGTAACATCATAACGTAGAGTTCTCTGAGGGCTCATACCTCCGAGGATTTCTTTCTAATAAAGGAAATAGTTTGTCGAGTTTGAGGTGATTTTTTGCATTTTATATTGAGTAAATTCGGCTACTTATTGTCAGTGAGGGAAACCGATTACTTAACAGTAGAAATACCACCAAATAACCCATTACAAGAAAAAGTAATTTATTCAAAATGAATGACATCCAAACATTTTTGTGGCAAGAGAACCCTTTGTATAATAACCTGCATTTATGTTTACATTTGTGCTAAAACAAGGTCTGATCTTCATCTGAATTGCAATAATCAATGAACACAATCAGTTTGAACAAATTACACACAAATGATTGCTTGTGCTTGTCCGCATTTAAAACCTAATTTAAACATTCACAGTGTAGGTTGGAAAAAGTATTTGAACCCCTAGACTTAAACAAAAGCTAATCGAGTTAGGAGTTAGCACACCTCGTTTGATTCAGTGAAAGTGTGGATTAAGCTCTCAAACATTTTAATTTGCTGTTCACAATCTGCTGATGTGAACCATGCCTGGCAAAAAAAAGAGATCTCAGAAGACGTACAATCAAGAATTGTTGATTTGCATATCGCTGGAGAGGGTAACAAAATCATCTCTAAGAGTTTAGATATCCATCAGTGCACAGTTAGACACATGTTCTATAAATGGAGACAAGTCAGTACTGTGGCTAGAAACAGGCGCCCAGCAAAGATGACTTCAAAGGCATAACGCAAAATAGTCGATGACATTAATAGGTAAGTAAGATTTAAAGGCTTAAATGTATCATTAGAACCAGTTACCCCGACCAGACCTAAATATGGAGTGTGGACTTCTACTTGGAGAGGTCCCAGTTCACCTCCTGCCCTGCCGTGGTGCCCTTGAGCAAGGCACCGGACACCCCCCTTCCCCCCCACTCCCATTGCTCCCCGGGCGCTGTACAATAGCTGCCCACTGCTCCTAGTACTAGACTCCTTGTACTAGGATGGGTTAAAAGCAGAGGCCAAATTTCACTGTGTGTGCTGTGGGCTCTGCATGTGTGACCATTAAAGAGGGTTTCATCCCTCCCAATTCTATTCTATTCTAGTTAAAACCTCATTTCATGCAAAGATCGTTGCAGTGAGCTTTATTCCCAACAGTGGGTGAAAAAGTTGAAAATACCCCACATCAATAGAGCATAAATGACATAATTAATTGAGTACATCATAGTGACGCCATAGTAACCAATACACTAAGGAATATATCATTTATCTAAATAATTCAGTATACAATGATTGTTTAGTGATTGAGCAAAAGGGCTTGATGGAGCATGGATTGAGATTAATAGAAGATCTACAGTACAGTTCATTCTTCATGCAAACATCTCTCCTGTACAGGGGAAAAAACTAAGACGTGATAGGAAATTAAACTTCAAGGTTGTATTCCCCGAACATTTTCTAAAAAGTATTAAAGGTCACCTATTATGCAACATCCACTTTGTCATGTCTTTTATACATAAACATGTGTCCCCTCTGTGTAAAGAGATTCGCTTTCTTTTTGTCCTGATCCTTTTATATAAAAACCTTTCTGAAAATGAGCTGATCAGATTTTGGAAACTTTGTGATGTCATAACGTTTTTTTGGCTTGTGTAACCATTAGCCAATAACCAACCAAGGTAACCCCCGCCACCTTATCACCTGAATCTCCTCCTAGAGCACCATTGTGTTTGCAGCAGTAGCACAGTCTCCTTCTCTGGTTCTCTATGTGCGGTATTCTGCTATGTGCGGTGTTCTCTATGTGCGGTGTTCTCTACATGCGGTGTTCTGCTATGTGTGGTGTTCTCTATGTGCGGTGTTCTGCTATGTGCGGTGTTCTCTATGTGCGGTGTTCTCTACATGCGGTGTTCTGCTATGTGTGGTGTTCTCTATGTGCGGTGTTCTGCTATGTGCGGTGTTCTCTATGTGCGGTGTTCTCTACATGCGGTGTTCTGCTATGTGTGGTGTTCTCTATGTGCGGTGTTCTGCTATGTGCGGGAGCTTCACTGGGATGTGCTGCTCTGCAGGTCTCGCTCCAGCCTCAGCTCTGCACACGGCAGGAAGAGAGGCTCTCTGTGCGCTGCAGACTGTAGAGCGGGTCTTCAAGGCCATCTGGGGAAAACAGAGAAGACTGTTTTGGTTCCTCTCGCAACAGTTTGTTATGCAGCTGGTATGAGTGGGTGTGGTATGATAAAAAAAAAAAAGAAGATAAACAACACTTCAAATCATATCATCAAGTGTCGGAGAGTCCTGGAGAGAATTCCAAAGATAGCGGGTTGTCTTTGGGGTAAATGAAAAATGAAATGCTTACCTCAGCGATCCCAATTTTTCTATCCAGAGTGTGAATGCTCTGCTGCAGCTTCTTGTGTTTGCCCTTGACCTGCATGTACTCTGTGATACCAGGAGCCTGGTAATCTGTCATCTGGCGCCGCAGGTGCTGGTTGAGGGCCTCTGCCTTCAGACGCTCCTGAAGTACAAGGAACGAAGTACATGAACAGAACTATGATATAAATGAAGTTTATGGAGCATGGCCACGCCTCAACCCCATCTCTAATCCCAGCTGAGTCTGTCAATTAAAAAACTAATGTCACAGCAGGATTTGGAAAAACTTGTCCATGCTTTTATCTTCAGTCGACTCGACTACTGTAATGGTGTCTTTACAGGTCTCACTAAAAAATCGATTAGAAAGCTGCAGCTAATTCAGAACGCCGCTGCTCGAGTCCTCACTAACACTAAGAAAGTGGATCACATCACTCCTGTTCTGAAGTCTTTACACTGGCTTCCTGTGTGTCAAAGAATTGATTTAAAAATACTGCTGCTGGTTTATAAAGCTTTGAATGGTTTAGGCCCAAAATACATGTCTGACCTACTGCTAAATTATGAACCATCCAGAACTCTCAGGTCTTCTGGGACTGGTCAGCTTTCTGTCCCCAGAGTCAGAACTAAACATGGAGAAGCAGCTGGATCTTTGCTTTTAAATGAGTGTTTCTAGATATCATTTTATAATATGTTTCTTAATGCTCTTAATGTCTTTCATTTTTGTAAAGTACTTTGAATTGCCTTGTGTTGAAAGGTGCTATATAAATAAACTTGCCTTGCCTTGCCTTGCCTTTATATCCGGCCAAACATCCAGCCATTGCATGTCTCCATTCTCTCAACCCACCCTCCCTCTCCCTTCCACTCATACATTCCTACTTCTTCCTCATCCTATGCCAAACCCCCTTCATCCCTCCAACCATCGACCCCGTCATCGATTCCTCCCTACATCCATTCATCCCTAAATCCTTCCATCCCTTATCCCTCCATCCCTTCTCCTTCCATCCCTTATCCCTTCATCCCTTATCCCTTCATCCCTTATCCCTCCATCCCTTCTCCTTCCATCCCTTATCCCTTCATCCCTTATCCCTTCATCCCAACATCCCTTATCCCTCCATCCCTTCTCCTTCCATCCCTTATCCCTTCATCCCTTATCCCTCCATCCCAACATCCCTTATCCTTTCATCCGGACATCCCTTCCTCCCTCCCTTCCCTTGTCCCTACATCCCCTCATCCTCTCCACCTGTCTCCATTCCTATTCAACTAGTTCATATTTTAAAATGTCTCATTCTAGCAACCACCTGGGGTCCCGTAATAAGCCCAAGCAGAATCATGCCGGAGATTTAACCACCATTTTGAGTTTCCCTCTGCCAGGACCATTCGCCATCATCATTTCATCACCCCTTCCATATCAATTAATTGTTACTTCCTTCATTAAACCTATAAACATCATACTGTTGTGGTGTGGTCCTTGCTAGTGAAGTACAGTTTAAAAGAGGATAGAAGTATGAACAGATTCCATCGTTTTGGGTCTGCCGTGCATTATTCAATGCACTCTGCCGCTCTGACAAACCTCCTCAGCGCGCACGATCTCCTCCTCAAGTTTGGCCAGCATCTGCTTCTTCTTGGTGATGTCATCGCTCAGCTCTGTGGACTCTCGTGTCACACTCTGCAGCTTCTCCTGAACACACACACACACACACACACACACACACACACACACACACACACACACACACACACACACACACACACACACACACACACACACACACACCACACACACACACACACACACACACACACACACACACACACCAAATAAACTGGAGGGGACACCTTTAACATTATTATTGCTGTATTTCGAGCAAAGCTATGGAAGTATATTTTACAATGTTAACATAAAAAACCCGTTGCTACTGTAATTGTTAACAAGACATTGATATTTCTTGTAATTATAGTTCATGATACAAGAAAAAGTCCCAACCTTTTTTTTTTTTTTGGGAAATATCCCACACATCAAATATATTTGTTGTTACTATGACAATCCAGATGGTGGTGCTCTTCACTATCTGATTAATTTTATTATTATGTATGCATGAACTGAATTATGTTATTTGATCACTCAGTTTATAAAACAACTGAAAAGGTTTTAGAAAAAACTGAATACGTTAATATATGTGTATATTATTCTCATTTGTTGTTATATAATTGTAATGTATGCTATTCGTATCTCATTGTATCAATTACAATTGTCATGGTACTATTGTTTACCTGAACTTTTGGTAGAATATCCTTTTAGTCAATAGAAAAAAACACACCCATGCAGATTTAGAAGCTGGAGCTAAGTCAAGCTATACTGCAACAGTGATTTCATTTATCTACACTAGATAACAAAGAGAGAACAATCTCTCTCACACATTGTAATGACTTACCTTGTGTGAACTGAGGACACGTTGTACTTTCAAATTGTTGACTTGAAGTTCATCCCGGTTTTTGTCCATTCTCTGCTCGCTGTACTCCTGAAAAATCTTCAGAAAACAACACACAGTGACAGTACCACACATTGTTACAGTAACTGACAAGCAGAGAGTGACACCCAATGACGATGGGTCATCATTGGTAACACTCTTTCTAGCCTTGTTAGCCCCTCTGGTTATAACCCTCACACTCATCATCTACCTCGTACTCGGCTTTCCCCGTCTCTTTCTTCTGTTGAAGCTGCTGCTGGAGCTTCTTCTCATGGACCTTCAGTGCATGGTTCTTCCGAGTCAACTTCTCCACCTGTGTGACCTGTTTGTGAACAGAGCAGATCATGTGGATGAAGGTTGGAGGATGGTAAATATGGGTAGGGGTTGTAAAAGTACAGAAAACATGAGGAAGAAAACATTAAAGGGGCCCTATTATGCTCATTTTCAGGTTCATATTTATATTGTGTGCCTCTACTGTGACATGTTTCCATGCTTTAATGTTCAAAAAGGTCTTTGATTTTCTCATACTGCCTGTGCTGCAGCATTTTTCTTTTCACCCTCTGTCTGAAACCAGAGCCTAGTTTGCTCTGATTGGTTAGCTGGCCTGCTCTTTTGTGATTGGTCAACCGCTAAGAGATGTTCCACCCCTTAGACCTATCAAACGCAATGTGTTGGACTACTAGCTAGTAGAAGTGGAGTGCAAAGGACTACAAAGGAGGCATTTCATGACATAATTTGACAAAGAAAAATAACAGAATAAAATCTAAATATCTTGAAATTGTATAAAATGTTTGAATTATGAGAGGTAAATTAAAACTATTCACTTTGAACAACTGCAAACATAATGCCATCTTTTGCAAGTTAAAATGAGTAGCCACGTTTTGTTTCAAAAACAGTTTTTATGCTACTTTTCAAAGGTCATTAGACAGAACCCTATTTTTTACCTTTGACTTGTCTTCGATGTACCGGAGCAGCTTGTCGGGCTCCATCATTTCCAACCTTTTGTCCTTCATAGGTTTGACCATTCTGCGTTCAAAGTCGATCTTAGCCTTCCTGATTTCGGCAAGACGCAAATCTGCTTCTTCCATAGAGGCCTGGAGATACAAGCAGAGTTACCAGGGGACATTTTTTGTAGGCGTGCATTGTTTTTTTTGTGCAAGTGTGTATTAAAACCTTGTAGTTGTCCTGAATTTGGTCATGTCTCTGTTTGAGTTTCTCCTGGTCCTGTCGTGTCTCTGCTACTTCTCTCTGTGCCACATAAAGTTTTTGTTCCAAGGTCAGCTGCTGGAGGCGATCCGATATGTTGGACTGGGACCTCCGCCTCGGTCCACGACCCTGACAAGGCACAAACACATTTACAAAATGAGAAGCGGAGTGCAGAGAGGTCATCTGTCCAGGCAACATATTTAGAATCAGGATTGTATCTCAGATTGTGGCAGGCCTTACTAATGTTGGTTAATATGAAGCAATAGCTATCACACTTTTAACCCAGAAAGTATTAAGTGACTTTACTCAAGAATAATGGACTTATCTTGATTTTTGTGTCGTAGTAGTAAAGGAGTTTTGTTGTAATTGGTTAGCACTTACCCCACCCTCCAGCTGGGAGTCTCCTGCTGCCCCCGAATCGTCCTCCCCAGCTTGAGACACCAGGTCCTGAGGATCCAGTCGACCGATGAACCGCTCCAACATGTCGATCTCTGCCAGGAGGGCTGCATTGGAACATCTCGGGGTAAAAGTGAGTATCAACAACTTTATAGTCAGGTCAAGATAATGCTTGAAGGTGAAAAAAATACAGTAAGGTGAAAATGTTAACTTAAACACCTGTAAAATATAAGTTATTTACTCACTACTGATAATTCATCAAGAAAAACAGAAGCTCAACTTGTCATTTTGTAGTAGTTAATATAATAAAATGCAGAAGACCTGAACAACATGTCATAATGTAACCTATCCTAGTGTGCCTGTACTTCCTCTACTCTTAGCTAACAGTTAGGAGTAAACGACTAAATAGAAAGCTACATTAAGCTTGTAATATTTCCATGCTAAATTAACAATTTTTCTCAATACTAACTAAGCTACATTGCTAGTTTAGCCTTGTTAGCAATGTTAGCCCATTGTTAGCAACAAAATAGGCAAACTAATAAAGCCAATTTTAGGTTAACAAAGTTCACGGTTGACCTACAAGGTGTTGTTGAGTATGTGTTTTCATTACTTGAGTTCTTTGACTTGGTTGTAGAGGAGTTCCTTCCGTTCTTGTGTGACCTCTTTGCCTTTTTCTTCCATTAACGAAAGCTCACCCTCCATGGTTGCTATGGTACACGTAACTCTAGCAGTGGTTGCTAGGGCTCGTGATGCCTTTAGGTGCTCGCCTAACCCTCTGTAATCAGTTAATTTCGCAAAGAATAATACAAAAAAAAAGAAAGCGTTCAATTTCTATAATGTATTGCTTTTTTATTCACTGTAGGCTACTACTTTATAGTGTAACCAAGTAACCAAGTAACCAAGTCAAGATACTTGTGCTTTTCTTGAATATTTCAATTTGTTGCTACTTTGGACTTCTTCCCAACTACAATTCAGAGGTATAATAGTGTACTTTTACTCCACTACATGTATTAAATACCTTTTAGTTACTTTACAGATTTGGATTAATGATGTGAAATATAATCAACAATTAAATAAGACTTTAGTTAGCCTACACCTTGAGTAACATTCACAAGCTACCCTGCAGTATACAAAGTCATTAAAACTAGCTGCACCTTTACCAGCTTTGATAAACACAACGATTAATCAAAATATTATTCTGAAATGGGCCGATCTGCATAATCAGTAGCCTACTTTTACTTTTGTACTTTAAGTATGTTTTGATTCTAAAACTTTTGTACTACTTGAGTAACATTTTGATTGCAGGACTTTTTCTTAACAGAGTAGGCTATTTCATTTTCTTCCACAGATGAAATATTTGTAGGCCTATATTTATTGGCAAAGCATTTCATTTATTCATTGCTATCGGGATGTTAAGAGCATTCCATGGAATATAACTAAAAGTGTTTCTGAAGTGAATTACCTACCCTACCTTTAAGTACTTCTTCAGCCTCTGCTCCTTTAAATACCAGATACATTTGGAGACAGGGCATCGTTGTTTTTTGTTCTATCACTGTAAAAGTTTCAGTTTCGTTTCTCTGTAACCGGGCGTCGCTTTACCTATGAGGAGATTTATCAAGTCAGGTCAGTCTGCTGAACCAACTGTTTAGCTGACTTGCCGAAACTCATTACTTGAGTAAAGTATGACTTTACTCATCTCTAAGTTTGTCACCAAGACCCTGTGCGACCACCATGGCTGCTTGGACTTCAAGCACCTTGATGAGAAGATTGCACAGTCTTTCACTGTTGCGCCTCAAGTCCTGCGGAGTGTCATTTTTGACGACGATAAAATAGCCATTGAAGAAGGAGAGCAGAAGGCCATCGGCAGCCAAGTAATCAGCCCGGACAGTCTGATAGTGGCTAAAACCAGCCTGCGTCTCTGTCAGAAGAAACCCGGAGAGTGTGCACAGTGCGACGGGTTACACCTGTGCAGGTATTACGTCTGTGGAGACTGTACGTTCGGGTGAGTTGCTACTGTTGTGCTAGCCTTCATTTTGAGGCTTTGTTATGTTGTATTGTAAAGCAGTAGGAAATGCCTACCCTGAGTTGAAATGACGTGGTAGTAGTCGTACATATTAGTGTTCAATACATTAAATTAAAATGGGTGTCAACTGTTCAGGTTTAAAGCTTAATTTATCAAGGCTAGACTCTTTTATCATATGTTTAAAGGACATGTATTGAGAAAGGAGAGCGAGCGGTAGAAGCAAAGTGGGGTTGAGTACTTTAAAATGTAAAAGGACACCCACACATGTGTTTTCACTTTTGTTTCTTGGTTGCAGCTCAACATTCCTCTTTCTGCTGGTTTTTCACTTCGCGGCAGGACAACTGGCATCTTTAATGTTTTACTTCTGCATTTAACTTGGTGACCTAATACCCAGTAGCAGAAATCTAATCCAGAGTAGCCTACATGAAATCAGTTGTGGGGAACTGCAGGCTCTTAAAGGTGTATGCACACAGATACAATCAGACAGGATTGAACACATTTTATTGAATAACTTGCTTTGACACAACCAGAAATAATGCAGAAAGTCATCAGGACTCTTTGACCTATGCTCTATACAGCTTCATGATCTTCGCCTACAGCTCAAAGCATTTCATTTTTTAAAGAAAAATATAAAACATTAGTAAGCTTGACAGTCTATTTTGGGCTGTGAAGGAATAAAAACTAGCTTGACATGGAAGGACTCAAACATGTGTAACCCTTATCTTCTAGATTCTAGAAGATCATTAAAAATGACAATAACTGTAAGTCCTTTTTTGGACCAGGAGATGGCAGTAATTTGCATCATAACATGAACTTGAATAACCCACTCTCTGTGAACTGAGCAAAGTGTAGAACACTTATAAAGCCTTGTATAACCCTCTCTAGACTGAAAGGGGTTATGGCCAATATTTTACTTGTAAGAAAAGTTTGATTAAATAACAATGTCACTATAGCAGAAAGTGGGAGTCATTATCGAGTTGATTTTTTCCCCATGTTAGAAAACGCATGTAAGACATGTTTTGACAGCAACCCAACATTATTATGACAAAACATGAAAAGAAAAAACAATGTTTTCATCTCTAGGTGCCTGCATTATTTTCAGAAACCAACGTTTTTTCATTTATTTCCATAAAAAGCCTTTCACTGAGCTCTATTTGATCCCTTCTCTTATATTTCAGAGCAAAGTGTAAAAATCCCCATCGCCTGGCTTTTCCAAACAATGCAGAGCTTTTGAGAAAATATGGTCTTCAGGACTTGACGGAGAAACAGTTGTTCCAGCTGTTACTGCAGAATGATCCATATCTGCTGCCTGAGGTAGGTGGTTTTAGTAACAGCAGCTTTTCTGTAGAAAATAAAAAAATGCATGTCCTAATGCTATAGTCACCCCTTCTAGATCTGCCAGCATTACAACAAAGGCAACAGTGTGCACGGTTCCTGCAAATTTGCCACTTCCTGCACCAAGCTCCACATCTGCCTGCACTATCTGCAGGGTGACTGTAAGTTTGGCTCCTCGTGCAAAAGAACACATACTGTTGATGCCAATGGAACGAAGATTTTCCGAGGATTCAGTCAGGAAAATATTACAAACCTTCTTCAGATCTACAGAAATAAATTCATCATCACGGGTCAACATGAGAGACAAGCTTCTGCTGTTCTCGGTAAAGGACTTTAATAAATAAACGTTCTTAAGTGAGTTGTAGTCTTCGCAATATATTTGATTTTGGTGTGTCTACTCTCTTGCAGCGCTGCCAGTCGCGAGAACCCCGACTCAGCAACCATCTCACAGCAACCCTGGACCCCCAACTACTTCTGCTGGTCCATCTAAAGCCATAAGCGATGCAGAGAGGGATGAAATCTGTCTCTTCTTCATCCGCAGACACTGCAGCTTCAAAGGTAACCCTGAAACTTGTGTTTCATACAATAACTTTTCAAAATATTCGTAAAGAGAAGATGATGTAAAGGCTGCACAATTTGAAAAAAGTGATGATTCGCGACAATAGGTGGGATGTCCATTTTTTAAACCTAATTCACATTCTCATCATCATCAAAAATTATTACAATGATCATAGTGTGTTTGTTTCTTTTTAAGAGGAACTGTAAAAAGCAAAGACTTTTTTATTAAGTCTGTTGAATACATTTTGTAGGCCGGGACTTTGCCTCTGCCGAATATTGCGCTTACTGTACGGCGATTTGGATATTTTACTAGTCCATATTGCAGTTTCGATAAAATGTTGATTCCTAGTGCAACCCTAGATGTTTAATGAGTGTCTCTCTATCACTGTTTTTCCCCAGAGAAGTGTGCTCGTGTCCATTGGCCCCGGCCTTACAGATGGCAGGTGTTAGACCGTGATGGTGTGACCTGGAAGGACCTGCCTGACATGGAAGACACGGAGAAGGCCTACTGCGACCCAGGACAGGACACGAGCTGCATCGAGCCACCAGCCGCCCCCTTAGGCATTTTGAGATACCTGTCACTAACAAGGTGCATGTTTGAAGAAAAAGACCACAATTAGAAAGTGGACAAAGTACAAAGTAGTAACAAGTGTTGTTATTCTCCCGTAATAGTAAGTCCTGCAATCCAAATTTGACTTAAGCAAAATTGTAGAATTATTGCCAACAAAATGTATTTGAAGTATGAAAAGATAATCACTCTACACACAATGGCCCATTTCATAATAATATATATTATATTATTGGATCCTAATTATTGATGTATAAATGTGTTAAATGCAGCCAGTAAAAAAGGTGTTTTCATTATGAACTGCTAGGTAGGTTGTACATTTTACTAAGTGCATTTGAATATTGTTATTCAATATTTATTATTTAGAAATGTCTTGTGATTGCTTGCTTTCAGCTCGGCACCCCCCGCTGGGCCGTCAGTAGACTTCATGACCATGACATACGGAGGGTCTCCAGTCCGCCGCCTGTCCACAGCCTCCTCCGTCTTAAAGCCCCCCCACTTCCTTCTCACCACACAGTGGCTCTGGTACTGGAAGGATGAGAGCGGGAAATGGCTGGAGTATGGACAGGTCAGTCAAACCATAACCAAATATATAAGCTATATCTGCTATAGTGTACTTATATTAATCACATTATTTATAAAAATGCCCAAAACAGTTTATAGTTTATCATATTTATTCTGACTATAATGTCTATATATTATACTTTCTTAATTTACACAACTCTATGGTGTATAGAGTGCCACAGTGACGTGTCCTAAAACCTAAAAAGTAAACTCCTTCCGGTTCCTTCGACAAAAAAGCAATGCAATTTCTCCATAGGATTTTGGAAAATAGCTCGAAATAAGGTCTGTGGTTGACACACATTTAAGAGACGGATCACGTTTTGTTCAGCTGGATAATATCCACATGTCTACCCTACTTTTATAATTTTCGAATCATAAATCTAGTCACCAGAAGCAAAATGCTAACGTTATGCTATAAACGAACTACAGCAGGGTCGCTGCTTCAACGTCACGCCAACTTAAGATCCATATTCAAAAATACAGATTCAAAATTGTACAAGTTGAAGCGTTTGTTTTAACAGTTTGCAGGAGGCAGGTACTTGCTTTCAAGCAGAACACGGGGAAACAAACTTAGCGGGAGTGTTTACGTGTTCGGTGTAATGACGTACAACGTCCTCGACAACTTCTGTAGTCCTATTCAGCCACATGTTAACAACCATCGTTTTTCAGACACGTAAACTCTTCAAAAATCACATCATAATTCAAAATTACAAACATATTCATAGTACAATAAGTTAAATAGAAAACACAATTTTATATAAAATATTCCTAGAACCACCAAGGATTCAAGATCCGTTCTTGTGCTTTTCTGGTGCTTAACTGGTTCTTCTCTGTTTTTACAAGTGTGTGGTCTCAGCCCTACTGCTTGTTACAGCTTTTATTTGCCGAGTGGGGCCAGCTAAGAACCGGTATT